TTTTATTTCCTCGCGCAACTTAATGATCTGTTTATCAACTTCAGCACGGCTTGGCATAGTATCTCTGGCAGAATACAAAGCATTCAGATTTTTTTCGAGTAGAGCAATCTTATTTTTCATAGCTTCCTGAGAAGGTTTTGCTCTCTGTTTATCTGTATTTTCATTAATTTCGCATTGCTGTTGTGATTCATTACCGGGTTTTATTTTATCTTCTTCCTCTTTTTTAATATTAGAAGCTGACTGTATAATTTGTGTTTTTTCTGCAGGTTTATAGGTTGCCTAAAAATAAAAACTTTCTATGGCTTCTGCTAAAGATTCTCTTATTAAGCTAGATAAATACAAAGTATGGCAATATATATACGTAATAATATGGTAAATACAAAAGAGTGTTAGTTTTCTGTATATATGTATAAAACTAACATCCTGTACTTTGTGACCAGTTGACGGAATCAATCATAAGAAATAAATCTATAATATAATGAATATTACCTCTATACTTTGAGATAGGCCATAATATTTTCTAATCAGTAAAGAGAAACTTTTTGGCGATTTCTAATATTTCTAGTACTCATAGGTACCTAAAATGATTTCGTCACTCACCTTAGAAAAAAAATTTAGTAGATTGGATTTATTCTTAGTCGCCGCTTGCAATTCTTCTTCGATTCTCTTAGATACAATAATATCTAGTTCCTTGTCGGATGTTGCTTGTAATTTGTAATTTCGCCACACTTCGTTAACTAACTTTTGTACATTTTGTACTTTCGTACTTGTATGAGATTTTTTAAAACTTTCAAACAATTTTTGGTATAACTTGGATTTGTCTATGTGAAACGACACCTTATTTAAACATTAAACTTTGGCTAATGGAATCAATGGTAACATAGATGTTAACTTGCTTTACTATACTTACAATACGTCTACTCGCTATAGTATCCAAACGAAACAATACACTGATAGAGGAAATTTAGACAAGTGAACACCACGCTTTAGAACCGAGTAGGGGAATTACCGCGCGCTGTTCACTAAACGTATGCATTATTTGCGGGAATCCCCGAAAATGCGTTTCGTTTTCAAGCAAAGACAATGTGATGGTTTTCATTCATGTAAAAAAGTAAATAACTACCGATGACGTAATGATCATCTAGACTCCCCTACCCCCCATGTCATCCAAAATAAGCAAAGCAAAGATACCCCCCGCCCCCCATAGTGCTCACGTAATACTTGAACGGCCCCTTTTGGATAAGAGTATAGATGTAGCTCTGTTGCTGGAAACATTGCTCAATCCGGGAGATCGTCTAGTTTTCCCGAATTATGATGTTATCCGAGCTGATAGATTAACTGGACGGGGTGGCGGCTTGGCAGTCCTAGTAGCGGGGGACTTCAACCGCAAACATAGAGCATGGCATTCTAGGTTGAATTCCACTAGTTGGATTCGCCTGTACAACCATGTCATACGAAACGGCTACCTCATACACAGTACTGAAGAGCCCACGCACCACCCATTTAATCACCTTCAGGCACCAGATGTCATCGACTTTGCAATATCTAGAAACTGTAGATACAGTATCACTTCTCGAATCATGTATGACATTTCTAGCCATCATCTTCCTGTCGTACTTTAAGTGGGTAATGAGCACACCAAGAGGGAACTTCTCCAAGGAAACGGGTTGATTGGGAACTATACAAGTTGTTTCTCAGAGAGTTTCCCAATAGCCCGATCATAGATGATCAGAACGGTATAGACGCGACTCAAACGGAGTGGACACGCTTCGTTCAGCAAGCTCTGTAGCGTGCAGCTGTACTTCCTGTACAACAGTACGTCAAACCTTTTCTCTCTGCAGACATTCGTCAGAAAATTTCTGACAAAAGGGCTGCAATTAAGCAAGCGAAAAGGTCTTGCCATCCTGATGACATTCACAGAGCGACGAATCTTGTTCATGAAGTAAGAAATGCTCTCGATGAATTCCGCAATGAGCAATGGAACGATTTTCTAGCGGGGATGCTTGACTCAAGTACTCCTTTCTGGAAAGTGGCGAAGTCGCTCAGAAACGGAAAGCGAGAACAACTGCTGCACATCCACGGTCCTGGGGGTCATAGACTTCAGGACAGAGGACAAGGTCGAGGTTTTCGCTGATGCTATTTAATGACAGTTCTCTCCCAACTATGATCTTGATAATGATCTCGACGAGGAGCAACAAATTGTAAGATCCGTCAGGAGATATTTTAGGTCCAACGGCGTCAGTGATCACGGCACCCGCCATTAGTGACTCTTCCTTAGAAGATTCTTCAGCTGAAGAGTTGCACAGCACATCAGTGGCTTCTCCCGAAATCCTGTATTGCACACCAGCAGAGCTTCAAGGTCATATTGAAGACCTCAAGGTGCGTAAAGCGCCTGGGGAGGATCAAATCACTAATAAGCCTCTGAAGCTGCTTTCACGGAAGTCCTTGACTTATCTCGTGGCTATTATCAATGCCATTCTAAGGACCCAGTACTTTCCATTGGCGTGGAAGGCTGCGGAAGTTATAATGATTCCAAAGAATGTGCGTTCGATATTTCCCTAGGACTATCGTCCCACCAGCCTACTGTCTGCTCCGTCTAAGCTCGCTGAAAAGGTGATTCTACGTCACCTTGTGAATTTCTCGTCAGATCACCATGTGATTCCTAACGTGCAATTTGGATTTCGGTCTGAGCATAGTACGGAGTTACAGGCGGTTAGGCTTGTGGAGCGAGTAACCAGGGGCTTCACCCTTAACGAAAGTACTGGCATCTTGCTTCTGGATGTCTCGAGACAAGGTGTGGCACAAGAGCCTTCTCTATAAACTAATTCAAAAGGGATTTCCATTTTGGCTCCTAAACGTTTTGAAATCCTTCCTTGAAGGTAGTAAATTTCGGATCAAAATTAATAATTTCTTATCGACAGTACGGCCGATCAGGGCCAGCGCCCTCAGGGTTCGGTTCTAGGGCCAATCCTTTACTCACTTGTCACGCATGATGTCCCTTGCCCTAGCGACTGTGAAGTACCGGGAATCTGGTTCACGACAGGTTACAAAGTGCGGTGGATGAGGTATTGGAATGGGCACATCGGTGGCTAATCAAAATTAATTACTCAAAAGCGCAGGCTATCTATTGTACTAAAAAACGTAGCGGCGCCCCGCCTGAGGTTTCAGTGAATGGAGCTTGCATACCATGGGGAAATTCTGCGAAGTATCTCGGTGTCACTCTTGACAGGGGGATGACCTGACAGAATCACACTGAAGCGTTAAAAACTAAATTCCAAATTACGTTTCGGCAACTCTACCCGTTACAATGTAGAACCTCAAAAGTAAGTTTGGTTAACAAAGTTCGGTTATACAAGATGGTTATCAGACCAGCAATCACTTACGCATGTGCAGCATGGTGTTTTCTTGCCAAAACGCATATGCGTAATCTGCAGGTTTTGAAGAACAGAACCTTGCGAACCATCACTAACGCACCATGGTATGTCTCCAACGAGACCCTTCTCAGAGACCTCGACATGCCTTACCTAAGGGACTAAGTCAAACATCAGGCGCAGTTACGTTATAGTCAAGCGGAATCGCACTGCAACCTTCTGTTGCATGAGTCAGTAAGCTACACAGTCGAGCAAGATCGAAAGCATACAAGACCGCGGCTCGCACTGTGATCAAAATCAAATCGTGCAATTCTATATCTAACCAAAATTACGTTTTTTGCCACACAAAATTACTAATTTAATTTTTGGATTAATTTAAATTAACCGAATACCAGTTAACAATGGCAAGGCATCCCTTTAACCGGCGCACTTCACCCTATTTGCTCTTCCCCCTTCCTTCCTTTCTTTCTTCTTCCTTTCTTTCCCCCTGACTCCGTCTGGTATCTGGGCAACCCGACCTGACAGACCTACTGGTCTACGATACTTTAACAAAGCGCGAAGGTCCCACGGACCGCTCTGAGTATTACGTATCTTGAAAAGTGACGTTATATCCATTTTTTCGACATTAGACTGTTTTTTTTTGACATTTTGTAAGTTTTTCTACAAGATGTTAACTTAGCACTTAGTTGTACGTGTTGCCTAAACGTCATGAGGCTTCAGTTATCAATGTTTGGCTCTGATGTGATGTAAAATCTGCTTCAGAGATGACATTACTGGAGGTCTAAGCTGTAAGTTGTATGTATTGATGTTAATTCCATTGGATTCTTGTCTCAAATACTCTTACTTCAGATTCTAAACTAGAAATTAGTTGCCCATACATTTTTTCTTATCCATTCTGGAAATTACATATGCAAATTTGCTGAATTCCAAAAATGAGAGAGATAAGAAATAATTATATTCACTGTACACTGTCGAATTACAAGCCATATGCATGCTAACAGTAATCACATACAACGCGGGCGCGGTGGTGATTTTTTGTAATGTTTTAAAACAAAAGAAAAAAACGAGAAAAATCGTAATGTATAACTTTGAACATAACCTCCCTTCAGAAAGCACAACACAAATAACTCGTCGGGCACAGCTAACAGATATACTTCATTGGCAGCATATTCAGTAATGATTTTCTCACACCGCAAATATCACTGATTTTATACACATGCAGACACAAACATCCAGATGCGATCTTGCTATTCAACCAACTTTTTTCTCGGAGATGAAAACTACAGACCAATCGGCTTCACAAAACATATGCAACCAACAATGCGTGTAGTTTAGTAGAGTCATTCCTCCATAGGATGGAAGCTCAAAACGATCTTAGTAAGCAAACGTGGAATGGCTGTTTGTACCGTAAAAACTACCTAGTCTGCAAGATGACATTTTATAAGTTTTTTTTGACGTTTTATAGGTTTTTTATATAATACCCGTGCCCTGCGAGGTCGAAGCGGGCCGTTGGCACTAGTTAGTAATATATACTTTTTTTGAAGCAACAGTAATATTGCGTCAAACATTTTTTCTTTGGAAAATACCCCGTTGATAGCTTATCAATGATACCAATTCATTACAAAATACCTGACAAACAGGATAACAATGCGATCTTAGCGGCAACTCTAGTTCTATTTTTGATATCACTATCCCTCTGGACTTTTTTGTCACTCCGTACTCCGTTTGGCCAAAAAGATTGCCTGAAATAAAAAAATACTGTTAGCTAAAAATAAAGTTAAATGGTAAAAATCCCCTATATAAAAGTTGCATAATAAAAGAAATGGTAAAGATCAAAAATTTAAAAAAAAATAAGAATGTTATTACACAGATTTTTTGATATTCTCGACCACTGCTGTACAAAATCTTAGCATTTTTTGTTTACTACTCTTATCGTTTATCTAAATTTGGCAAATTTTTTGTGTTATTGTATAGTTTTCAATACGAGTCTTTGGTTCGATCAGTTGTATCAGTCTTTTAATAGTGCGTATACTTTCGACTGATCATTTTGTGCGAAAAAATTTCCCATGTTTACGAAAACAATAAACTAGTGGACATAATACTAACATACGGAGAGTGCTAACAAAATGCAGCCGCAGCATGCAGGTTGTAAGTAGAAATGTTTCCTTTAAGAAATTATCCGGCCCCAAGGATGGTTGTACATTAAGTTATTGGACTTCGTGATACCGGATATTTGAAAGAACAACGAGGAGGTCACGCTTGAAGACCTGCTCAACCTGAAATGTTATAAATTGTAGAAGACATTTTAGAAATGGTCGAAGACGACCCAACAATGAGTACTAGAGCCAGAGCAGCTAAGATGAAGTTTCTCATAGTAAAGTGTGGAATACAATACGATAAGAACATTATCAACTGGTACAAGCGTTACAACCTGAAGAGCATCCTAGAAGAGTTGCATTTTGCCAGTCGATTTTAGTTCAGTTCGGCAGAAATGAAGATTTTACAAAAATTATTTTGTTTACAGACGAGGCCACATTTACACGAAATGGAGTACACAATTTCCACAACAATCATGTTCGAGCAGTATAAAATCCGCATGCTCTAAAAAGAACTCATTTTCAAAATAGATTTTCATTAAATGTTTGGGCTGGTATGGCAAATGACTTACTTATTGGTACTTTTTTCGAGGTCAACTGACCGGTGAAATTTATTTAGATTTTCTTCAACACAATCTGCCACAATTATTAGATGTTCCTCTAAATGTGAGACAAAATATTTCGTTCCTACATGATGGGGATCCACCCCTTTTGAGACGCGAAGCTCATGAATATCTAAATAATGAGTTTCCGAATAGATGGATACGGCGCAATGGACCCATTTATTGACCTGTTCGCTCCCCGGACTTAACGTCTTGCGATTTTTTCTGTGTGACTATTTGAAAGAGATGGCGTATCATGATGGAGCAGTAAATACGCTGGAAGCACTTCAACAGCCCACTGAAATTGCTTGGGATTAAATTTATGGACACCAGGATTTTATTTTCGAAGCTTGTAAAGAGTCGTGAATTCGCCGAGCAAGATATTGCGTTAATCGAACAAATGGGGACAATTTTGAGCAGTTTTTGTGAAAACGGTATCCATAAGTTGATAATAATTTTTTTAAATAATTTTTAATAATGTAAACTAACTCTCTTACTACGTAACTTTTATATAGGTGATTTTTTGTATATAAATTTCTTTTGATGAGTTGTACAAGCTGTTGAAATAAATGACTCAACTTTGAAAACACCCTGTAAAAGCCATCTATCTATTTAATATAGAACGTCTTTCTATTAATTTTCATAAAATCCATAAATTGATTTTTATGAACGGGCTCATTGTAGTATTAGGATACTTACTTAAATACATATAAGTAGTGCGCGACCTTCTTAGGACTAGTGATGATGGACACATAATCCAATATCCTCCTATTAACTATATCACCGAACATGGTCCTCACAATTTGCCTAAGTAATGTAACAATTCGTCTGCGTAACCACTGATTCCGAGATTTAAGATCAAACACCTCGTCCATCAGTAGCAACATTATCCTTAATGGTATGTTGTCATCAGTCTAATGAAAAGAAAACATAATGTGACGTCAGCACTTGGCATTTGTGTGAAATTCAATTATACAGGGAGTCCCAATACTCCGTGGATATAACATAGAAGTACCACGTATTTTTAGACTCAAAATAAGTAGATTGAACATGATTTACCTCTATGCAAAAGTGCTTCGTGTGTCCGTTTGAGTTTTTTTAAACAAATTTTTTCATTTATTTTTGTACCCCATAATCTGATTTGAATGAAATTTGGAACACATATGGTTTTTTCTAGACGTATTTGACTTTTACAAAAAAAAAAACGAAAGGGTTCGAGAAGTTGGAAAACTACCCTCACTCCTACATAAATTATAGCAGAATTTTATTGCTGCTCTCCTAACAACTCTGATTTTTTTATCTAAAAGAAGCTTTTATTTCTTTCATTTTTTGTCTCTTATAGTTATCGAGAAAAAAATGTTTTTCGGAGCAGATTAAAAAAAATCTTATTGCATCAAGTGTTAAATTAATGTTTCAATGCCAAAACACAAATGAGAAATCTGCAGGTTCTGCAAAGCAGGACGTTGCGCACGATTACTGACGCCTCATGGTATGTCTTTAACGAAACCCTTCACACACCTCGATGTCCCTTACCTAAGGGACATCATTAAGCAATTAGGCGCAGTGGCGTTAGAGCCAAGCGGAATCGCACAGCAACACTCTGTTGCAGGAACCAGTGTACTACTCAGTAGAGAGAGTACGCACGCACATAAGACCGTAGCTTGCACTGTAATCAAAACTAATTCGTGAATTTCGAACAACACCAAAATTAAAGCATTTTGATAAAATCTTTGAAAAACTCAAATATTTTTAGACCATCAAAATCTGTCAAATAATTTTAACAATGCGTAAATGCTGTCTGTCCAGAAAAATTTCCTTCTTCCTCTTTGCTCTCTTTCTTCTATCATTTACTTCCTTTTTTCCTTAAAATTGTCTGGTTTCTCGGTTACCAGACCTGACAGACACCAGAGCTAGAGTTCCACGGACCGCTCTGACAACCAACGATGACTTGGTCAAGTAATAAAATCTACAAATCTAAAAACTTTGAGAGATTTGAAGGTAGATGCATTGGTAGAGATCAAGAAGCTACTATTCAATGATCACCTAGTTCCCCAGATCTTAATCCTTGCGATTTTTTATTTGAGGAGCATTAAAAACGAAGGTATTCGAGGTTCAGGTAGACAACGCCTATCAACTATGGAACAGGATTCAAAATGCTGCAAATACATTAAAGAATAGTAACATCTTAGAGAAAGCTAACTATAATTTTTTGCCTCTTATTGTTCTGTGCAAAAATGAAAGTGGTGGTCATATTGAACACCTTTTATGAAAGATTCGCACTATTGCCTGTATTAAATACTTGTACTCACTATTCTTTTCTCGAAAACTATACTCGAGATGGCCTGTTTTTATATGAGACAAAAAAGAAGGAAATAAAAGGATCTGCTAAATAAAGAAAAATCAGAGTCGTCGGGAAAGTGGCCAAAAAAATTCTGCTATAATTTATATATGTGTCGGGGTAGTTTTCACTCTCCTTGAACCCTTCAGATTTTTTCGTAAAAGCCGGAACGTCTAGCAAAACATATATATGTTCCAAATTTGTTTCAAATTTTTTCATAAAATATCTTGAAAACGTGTTTTATAGAGAAAACCTTGACGTCCTCTAACGGACAAACGAAGCACTTCTGCGAAGAGGTAAATCGTGTACAATTGACTTATTTTGAGTCTAAAAATACGTGGTAGTTATATGTCCACAGAACTTTGGGTCACCCTGTATATAAATACTCTTATATAAAATGAAATAATCATTTTGTTATGTACACATATTTGCAGTTTTTAGAAAATAACACCTGAAATTCCAATACAATGCCAGCAGTCTTCAGATTATTTTTCTTTAAAATAATTTCACACATCCAACATTATATTTTTAGATTATGCTAATCGACTGACATATGAAACAAGATGTTTCAATATAAAATTGTATTCCTCTAACTATACATGCGCGGTCTCGCAGACCGCTGGCAGTTTCTAATTTTCGTGTTTTACTGACGCCGTAAAAGGTTAAATTTGTTAAAATGTATAAACAATAAGATTTATTAAATAAATATAAAGCATTTAGCTTAAATAATACTAAAGTAATCATAAAAAAATCTAAGAATTTCTTTCAATTTCACGTTGTCCCTGTAAGTGTGACAAAAAAAAACGTCCACAGTTAAAGGTTGAATTTAGATATATTACCTCTTCTATAGATGCACCAACTTTGCTAGCCTCTGGAATCCTGCCAGGTTTTGCATGAAATACTTTGGTTAGACCTACAACAACTTCATCTACGGTATTTATCAACTGTTCTGGCATATTTCTGATAGTCTTCATTCCCGTCTTTAATGGATTCACTAAAGTATCAATTGTGCTAGATATTGGCCCACCAGTAGCTCGGTCGTATTCTCCTTGCTCCAGGAATGTCATCAGCAGATCTCCCAATCCATGATATGAGGATAATATCGAATTATGGCACAATTCATTCATGTAACATCCTAGCATTTTCATCCGCCTTTCTAATACTGCTCTGTCCATATTGTGGAATGTTTTCTTACCGGGAAATGGCAACTTCGATAAATTAGGGTACTGAAATATTGGAAAATCGTAGTGGTGGGAATTGAATTTATTTTAGTATAAAAAATGCCGTCAAGTTGACTATACCAAAGAAAAGCAGTGCGCACCGCCAGCCAGCAGTACGGAAACGATTACCGACTGTGTCGTACGACGCTGATCCATCGGGGGACCACGCGGCACTACCGACACCCGACTGTAGGAGATATTTATGGGTAAATCTACGGGGATATCTATGGTGAGTGAAATATGCCTAATATGTGCGTAGACTTATTGGAGTTGGAGGCGTATAAGGATACTAAAGTCAAGGAGGATCCTCTGAAACGTCAAAAAGCGAAGTTTGAGCGTTTTCTTTTCATTTGTTTTTGATCTGCTCTGCCGCCACTGTGCCGATTTTGAAAAACGACAAAGCTTTTTCGTCGTTGGCATATAATAGTAACATTGTTTAAGAATTTTATCGAAATCCGAGCGGTACTTCTCAAGTCAACATCCAAAAAACTTGATATCTCATTTCCGAAAATTTTCGCGATTACAGTACTTCCCCGCCAGTAGGCGTGCGAAATAAAAATAGGAGGCCTAGAAATGCTGACCATCTGATTCATAGATGCAAGATGCACTAGTCCTTGAAACAGTATAAGCTAAAAAGATTCTGTCTACTTGACTGAGCTAGCTTTGCTGTATACAGTTTTCATACTCAATACGATTATCATTCTATAGATACTTTCTTTACCTATGATTCAATGAAATCCATTTTTTTAAACTCCACATGTCACATGACATTTGAGAAAGGTGAATACACATTCAAAAATTATTTTATATAATACTAGAAGTAAATTATGTGAAACTCAAACATACTAACCCTTTCCTTGACCTTAGTATACAGGTCATGAAAATCACTATACCTCCTATAAATATGCCATTCTTCTTTATATCCCGTCTCATATTGCCTGTTAACTCTTATTGCATAAATGCCGAAGGTTTTGCCTTTCTCGCAAACAATACCTAAAATGAAACATTTGCTCTTAAAAGATTCCTTATTAATCCGATATCAGAGAGATTTTTTTCTAATTGATTCAATACATTAAGCTGTTACTGCAGAGTACCGTGAAAGCACGGTACTTTAGGCAATAAAAAACCGAAAACCAGTTTCACGTAGAAGTAAAGACTTTTGTTTCAGGTAATACAAAGAATGTACGAAAAATGCGTTCCGAATTGGAAAAACCAATCGACATACTTCAATATAGATGCTAGTCTCATATTTTGGATTTATTACCCAAAGATTTAAAAATTCCTTCGGCAACTTCGAACCCTTTAAATATTATAAAAAAAAATATTTTCGGAACAAACATGTACCATCTGGACTCTACAGTAAAGCTGGAGGCAAAACATTGGTTATGCCTCTGGAAATAAGGCGGAGCACACTAAATAATGCTCTAAAGTCCTTTTTAGACAATACAGGAGTTATGGTTCAGTTATGTCAGGATCATAAAAATGGAATTGAAAGCGTATCTGTATGTGTGGAGATATGGCATAAGTTTGATATAAATTTGACTTAGATAGATTAGAAAAAGTTTTTTCACAAAAAAATATGACACTTGGACCCATGCATTATTTGGCAAACAAAACAAAAAAAAGGAGAAGCTTTTGAGTACTTAAACAATATTAACAGTTATTCTGTTCCATTAGTTATAGCTCTTACATCAAAAGTAAACCCATTTCCAAAGTATTTTTTTAATGAACATATTAGGCTTACTCCTCCAATAACGTGGTGGATATCGGTTGCTGTATTGGCCAGACAAAGATGCGTTTTTAAAGTTATGTGAACAGTTGAATATTACAGTATAGTGATGTGCTTTCTAAGTCATTTCGTTGAACTAGTTCAATAGGCGTTCTCTAAAACGAACTAGTTCTACGATTAGTTCACGAACAAACTATTTTACACAAGAATAATGTCAGTGAAAGCATCGCCTCTCAACCTTTCAGCCGATCGCCGGAGTTTAGCAGTGCCGGGAGCGGTTAATATTTGGATCGGTGTTTGTTTTTTATTTAGATGGACGTTTTTCAAATTTAAATTCTCAACGTAAACTGTCGCTTATATCAAAACGTTTTCTAGCAATATCAAATAGTGTGGGGTATACTTTTGTTTCGCTTCGAAACACCTCGCACTGTTGTTTTTTTGGTTTTTCATTTTTTTTGTATGATGGATTTTTCAAATTGAAATACTCCACATAACCTGTCGCTCACAGAGTAGATGTACCTTGAGATACACACGTTTTCTAAGAATCCCAAATAATGTACACTTTTGTTATCACCAGTTCAAATGGTTTCCAATAAATATTACATACCTATGCAACCATAGGCAAGTAGACGTTTTTTTTAGTATCGCAGACAAAATAAACTGAAGAAAAAGCCGATAAAGTTAAAAAAACGAATGTTCTTAAATGGAAATTTCTAGTTAATTTTCATTTTAGTATTGTTTTAATTTCTTCATGAGCCTTAATAGGCGCGTACTTTTTTATAAAAGTTAGCTAATCTTTTTCTTTCAGCCATTATAACTAACGTAACGGCATTTGCCATGTCTTTTCATAACTTCCAGGCAACCAGTTATGCAACCTTCTGCTTACGGTTGTCTTTTCGTAGTGAACGAGATTTTCAAGAAATGATGAACTAGTTTACTTAGTTCAATCATGAGAATCGTTCGATTAAACTAGTTCGTTTGTGAACTACACATTACGACTGCAAAGGCATCTGCGGCAGGGACTGCAAGAACTTTTTCATGTTTTGGTTTGGTCAAATCTAATTTACGAAATCGCTTAGGAAACCAAAAAGCCAATAAATTGGGCTTCATGTTTAAGTACATGAATCAACATATAGACAAAAAGAAAAGCAATCTTGAATGGGTATGGGAAGTAGCTATATCTGAAGATATTGGAGATAATATCTCTAACACCATTATTGATACTAATTCATCAGATGATATGCCAATATCAATCTTGATAGAATAAAGAAAAATAATCTATTCGTTTTTCAATGTTTTTGTTTGTTTGTTAGCGGTAAAATAAAATGCTATGTTGTTTAGAATATAAGTTTTCATGTGTTTGTGTCCAAATATATAGTATTTTATGGATAAAATTTAATAATGCTGTTTCTATTAAATAAAAAAACTGAAAATTTTATATATTATTGGATATGTATCAGATATATATCGGATATATGTCATGTGATATGATATTTATATAAATATCATATTTTCGGCAAAGCTCGCGGCGCTCGTTAATGACTCTTTCCTTCTCTCATGCAACCCAGGGATTGATAGTTTACTTGATCCTAATAAAATCCACAAATAGCACATTTCAGTACCACATTATTGTAAGAATACTCACCAGTCTCAATAATAGCCACCGTTAGAGAATAATCACCAGTTTTATACATACTTTCATCACATTTTTTCTCAGGTTCCTTCACGTCCTCGCCTAATATCACCTTCCTTTCTTGACTAGATCCAAAAAGTCTTACCTTAAAATTATCAAAGCGTTGTTAGACCCTACTACCTACGTAAAAAACTTTTGATGTTTACCATATATTTGGTATTTTTGTTAAATATTTTCCATTCTGACAAATTGTATAGTGAATTGTCATTAATTGTCATGGCAGCATTGTAAAAAAAAGAAAAATTGAACATGCAGTTTAAATCTTGACATTTTAATATGATTAGTTCGTGTATTGCAGAGTAGAAAAATATATTCGTTAGGGGATTACAATGCTACTAAGCATCTACCAAGCGCACCGAAAGGCGTGAGGTACTATATTACTTAAATTTTGTGTTTAAAAGTTGAGTTTTATACGGATGTATAAGTAAGCAATTGGATAATGTTAGTATACATGGCATATAAAATGCAACACCCAGAATTATTTATTGAATTTTGATCAAAAAAATATTTGCTATCATGGAAGTATACCTGATAAAATGTTGACTATGACTATATTAACTGTGTATAGGATCCCTGAAGCAAATTTTTCAACTTTTTTGAATAACCTTAGTGACACACTTCTTCAAATATGTAATATGTTCCAAAATCAGTCGATCTTAGTTTGTGGTGACTTTAACATTAACTTTATAAAACCAAGTGAGAATTTGAATCTCCTTTTGGATATTCTCAATTCTTGGAATGCTGTGCCAACAATTAGCGAATCCTCTTGAGAATGCAACTGTTTGGACAATGTTTGTGTGAACCTTAGCATTGGCAGCTGGTCAAGTAATTAACGAAAACGTCAGTAATCACTTAGGACAGGTAATTCAAGTACTACCTTCGGAAATTAATATCTGATTCTAAAAATAAAACGGAAACTGTAAGGAAAATCATAAAATCGAAATCTAATAAAAACCTGGTTGTGAACTTAATATCAATAACAGAAAAATTAAAGTCCTAAAAAAAAATTCCAGACATGCTTAACAAGCACTTTGTTGAACAACCACTTAAAATAAAAACAAATCCTTCAAGAAAAATATTTAATTGACAATTTAAAATGTTCCGATTCCACTGGGGATGATGCTATCTGTTCAAATATAGTTAAAACATGCGCAGAATGGATTGTGGAGCCTTTAACTCATATATTAAATTGTGCGCTAGCAGAAGAAGTATTTCCTGAGTATTTGAAGTCAATGAAAATGCGACATATCCTGTATAGACAATTTTAATTCAATTTCACTACTCAGACCTTTCGCAAAAATATTTGAAAAATATGTAGTTAGACAGAACTAGGAGAGTAACGTTGTCGCTATATTATAGTGACCGTCAAAGATAGATGATGCTATGTACGTCGACACATCATTCTTCCCCATTCATTAATATATAATAATTGTGATTTTTCAGGCTAGTACTGAAAAATAATAGTTTACTTTAAAATATTTGCAAAACTTGTAACGAACAGACAGGCAACAGACAGAAAAAGAAACGACAAGACCACATCACTAGTTACTATGTGTGAGAATATATTTTAAAATATAACTAGCGTTCTTTTATGGTACTCTATTGTATAAAGTTTCAAGATATAAATTTCAAAATTATCTGTATAATGTCTCAAAGAAGAGATCCTCTGTTCGCCATGTTTTTCTGAAAAACGATAACCTCAATTCAAAAAAACTTTCACTTACGCAGCACCTTGTTTGTTGAATAAATATTTAGAACTTTTCCAAATTACTTCCAATCATAACTTTAAAAAGGGAATTAAGGTGCTTCTCCAGTTGCAAGCTTTTGAAGCTAAAGACTATTAACTAACGATTTACTGTTGTATTTTATTTACAGTGGTACCTCAATTTTATAACATTACTTTATGTTAAATTTGAGATAAGATGAAGCTTACGACTGTATAAAATAATTTTTATAATTGCTGTAGGCGACGGTGAAAAGTGGCAATGCCAATCCTCAGCCGTTTGGAGTATTGTTTTTTAATATACAGGGTGTAAAATTAGTAGTGGATCAATAGAAGTCAGGTGATAGAGGGATTCAAAACCTATCGAATGAACCCCTATATGTGTGGTCCGAAATTTTATAGTTCATGAGATATTTGCATTTTGTGAAATTTCGAAAAAGAAAACGGGATAATGAACTTTCAGTTGCAATTACAACCAAACCATTAGGTTTAGGGCTGTGATTTTTTTTTGAGATGAACTAAATGGTTACTTTTTGCAATTGTTATGTCACTTTCTAACAGCGCTAATTAGAAATCAACGCAAAAAAATCTTAAATTATTTTTTTTGTGAAAAATCTCTTCCATCCCTCAATTTTGGAGGTCGGAGAAAAAATTGAGGTTGTATTTCATTATTCATTTTATTGTAAAAACTATTCCAACGCATGTAGAATAAACCCTGAAAATTTCAGCTTGCTGCGATGAGTGTATCATGTCGAATGTGACATTGTTGATGATGCGATAAACGTAAGAAACGCAATAGAATCCTTACTACCTACAAGAACAGAACCTATTGTGTTTAGTCGCTCTTTATGGCGATTTACCGACAAATGTGGAAGATAATTTAGTTTAACTAAGTTTTAAAGAACATGTTCGAGATGGCCTCCATTATTTTCTATACACAAGCGACATCTTCTAATAAAACTTTCCATTAAAATTTTTATTTTTGCTTAATTTTCTAGCGCAGTTGGTTGAATTTGTATATTCAGATGTATAGATTATCCCCTTATAAAAAAACCTAGAGGATCTAAATCGGGTGACCTTGGAGACCAGCGTAGGTGTCCACCTCTGCCTATCCAACGACCAGGAAAGGCACTGTCTAAGTAATGGCGTACATCCCGTGTAAAGTGACATGGGGCACCATCGCATTGAAAATACATGCGGCATAGAACGTCCAAAGGTACATCCTCTAGCAGGTCATGCAAACTGCTTTGTAGAAAAGCAATATATGACTGACCATTCAACCTGGCGGGCAATTCATATGGTCCAATTCATTTTTTGTTGAGTACTCCAGCCCATAAAGGAACGCCGAAAGCTGTGTCGGCGAATAGCGTGTGGATTTTCCACGCTCCATTAATGGAAATTGTGTATGTTGAATATTCCATTTCGGTTAAAGTTGGATTCATCTCTTCAAAAGTTTCATCATTTCAGCTTCTCAACATATTCTCACAAAATTCAACCTGCATAATCGCTTGGAAGCAATTCTTGTACTTTTTGTACATGGTAAGGATGCATGTTCTCCAAGCGTAGTATGTGTGCACTGAAGTATGGGAGATGTTTCTGCCTCGGGCAATGGCTCTGGTGCTTATAGAGGGATCTCTCTCGGCTGCTTCTATATAACTATTTCTTCTGGGCGTATCCTCGGCGATCCTAGCTGACGATGAGTGCCTAGTATGCGGCTCTCTATATACGCATTATGGACGCGTAGAAAAACGCGGTAGTCGGATTATACCGCCGGTTGTGGTCCACCTCTTCTAACCACATACTCCCGATACATGCGAGCAGCTGCTCGAGCATTTCCTAGGGCAGCACCATAATAGTAATGCATTTCTACATAATCTCACGGAGAATATGACATGATTCTACTCTGATGCCAAACGTTAGATACAAATTCCGCGCTGGACCATTGCCTGACTTAGTAATTTCGGTCGGATCGAAGGTTGAACGGTCCCGCACGTGCAATGCCGAGTTGAATGCCCAAGCGCATTAAGCTAATTTGGCTATTTGCGTAAAAAATCCGCCATTTTGATTTTACAAAATGTTAATACACACAGTATCACTCGCACTGCTAGGACGAATCTAACAGTACCTCATATGTCAAAATCCATCAAGTCGTTTGGACTGTAGCTCGTAAAATAGAATTTCTTGTTTACATGTATATATACTCACCTGAGTCAAACATACGGATTTTTTAAGTTGAGGCACTTATCGTAGCAAGCGGAAATTTTAAGGGTTTATTCTACATAGTTTTTACAATAAAGTGAATAATGAAATACAACATCAATTTTTTCTACCGCCCTCCAAAGTTGAGGGATGGAAGAGATTTTTTACAAAAAAATTAATCTAATATTTGTTGCGTTGATTTCTAATTAGCTCTGTTAAAAGGTGACATAACCATTGCTAAAGCTAACTATTTAACTCAACTAAAAAAAAATCACAGCCCTAAACCTAATGGTTTAGTTGTAATTGCGATTGAAAGTGCATTATCCCGTTTTTTTTTTCGAAATTTCACAAAATTGCAAATATTTCCTAAGCTATAAAATTTCTGACCACATTATATAGGGGCTCATTTGACAGGTTTTGAGGCCCTCTATCACCTGACGTTCGTTGATCCACTACTAACTACACCCTTTAAAATTGTTTTCATTACTATGATATATTACTACATTTAATTTGATTGGACTTTGAAATATACCGTAACTGAGAATTTCCTTACAGTCTGGCAACCCCGTTACATAAAGCCGACACAATGTCTGCATCATAGAACGGTGCGTAGGCAACGCGGCCGCTATATTATAGTTCCCGACAAAGATAGATGATCTTATGTACGTCTACACATCATTCGTTTTCCAAGTCATTTTCAAATACTCCAATTCATAAGGACTAGGACTTCCAGGCTGCCAAAATAATGGGATAGATAAATACAATCAACAACAATAATTCCAGACATAAAATATACTCCTTATTGACTTGTAGTAAAAACAATTACATATACGTAATTTTCAAATTGGATAACTAATATCAGTAACGATTTTCTGACCAACAACCCAAAATGAATGCTCACATTTATTATTTATCTAGATTTTTTACCGTTCTTTTACGGTGGTCTATTGTATAAAGTTTCAAGATATAATTCTCCAAGTTATCTGTATAATGTCTTAGAGATGAGATCCTCTGTTCGCCATGTTCTTCTGAGAAACTGTTATTGTTATAATACTCCAGGCGATGCCACATTTGAATTTAAAAAAGCTTTCACTTGTTTGTTGAGTAAATATTTAGAACCTTTTCAAATGATTTCCGGTCATAACTTTAAAGAGGAATTTAATATGGTGCTTCTCGAGTTACAAGCTCTTGAAGCTACAGATTGTTAACTAGCAATTTTTTGTTTATTTATTTACATTGGTACCTTAATTTTATAACATGTAAAATTAGAGATATGAAGGAGCTCACGACTACATAAAATAATTTCAACTTGCTGATTCTCTTTGCAATTGCTGTATGGGTGACGGTGAAACATGGCAATGCCAATCCTCCGCATTGTATATATTTATTTTGTATAAGTGCTTCAATAAACATTATTATTACTTTACTAACAAACATAATAAATCATAACATACCTCTTCTGCTTTCCCTGTAAACGTTGTAACATCGCTGAGCGATCTCACGTGCTTAACACTTTTTTGGTTGTAATCGACTGTAAGAAAGTCAAACTTCTCAACATGTTGCGCAGACGTCATTGCTGACTGCTGAGTGTCGTTGTTTTCCAAGCTCTCGTTGCTGTTCACACTAAGCACGTCTTCCTCATTATTCGTTTGTTGTACTAAATCAAGCTCTTGTAGCAGGCGGAAGTAAGCTTTACTCTTCCTGAATGGCGGTAAAAATTCTGTTTCCATTCTCTCATATACAACTTCGAGCACTTTGTCAAACCACGAGGCACAAGGGACTTCGTTCAAGTTTCTTATTTTGAAATGCAATGTTTGTACTAATGTTGATTTTAGCTGCACTCGGTTCTCACACTTCTCACCCAAATATTGTTCAAAAATACTGAACGCAGTCGACCTGATATTATCATATACAACAGCAACATTTTCAGCACTAGTCTTTGATTTATTCAACTGTATGTCTGATAATTGCTGTTCTACAGATACTTTCCAGGCCTCAATGTTCAAATAAAAAAATAAATCCAACTGTTTACCCTGACTAGAAACAAAATCTATTAAATATGAAAGTGCTATATTATTTTTTAATATCTGATCTAAAGTAAGACTAATTTTTTTAATACTATCGAGCTGCAGATCCTGGTTTTCCAATGATGTGGCAAAATTTTCCATTTTAGACAATTTGCTATCTATTAGCTTTACCACATAATTTAAACTACTCAGTTGCTGCTTTACAGATAGATCACTATCGCCCCCAGAGTCCCTAGATCTCAAGGAATTGATTTCTTCAAGAGTAAACTCTTTGGTACTCTTAAGTTCATCACAGTTGTCGCTTAATCTCAGTGTAGTAAGGAACACATCACTTGACAACTGGTTTTCGCGTAGACACAGCCAAATAATAGCCTGATTAATATAGTCAGGATCAGAGACCAAATTAAATAGTGGTAAAATAACACAGTTCGCGCATATCTCTCGTAACACAAAACGAAGGGGTTTGCACTGAAAATCTTCGTCGGGCAGCAATATGTATAGGAGTACTTCCATCAGCTCGCTCAAGAACTCTGTAACAAAATTTCAAGTGAGAAATGGAACATGACAGCGATCCAAAGATTACCGCAGAGTATCTAACATCAAACTACGTAAATTTAAAAAACGTGTAAACTACTTCGCGATTTAAAGAACCCCGGAGAAAGCTTATGAGGGATGGCTTTCTGCTATTTTCTTTTGAAATCCAGTATATCGTTGTGGGCTCGGTTCACGATATGTAACAGCTGTTTTATATTTATATACGTTCTTATCATGATCCCTACTAGTCGGTTAACCCCTCTTGCAATTCTTATCAGATATACAGGGTAACCCAAACCTTGCAAGAATGGAGTATACTTTCTTTCTCATATTAATTTGAATGAATGACTCAGGTATTTCTAATAAGTGAAATAACTGTACAGCTATTACAAGAAGTCATTTTTTCTATACTCCAACTACCACGAAGGCCACCCATTGGGTACCGTGGGGCTATAGGGGGATACATGGGAAAGGGGGAACACCACACGGACTCTGGCGAGGGAACACGTGTACATGCAACATGCACACATTCTGGCTCCGCCTACGAGATCCGCCGGGTGGTAACTCCGCGTTCGACAGTCAGAGACCGTCTACCACCTACGGACAATCACAACATCCATAGCCAAGAGAAAAATTTCTCCTGGGATGGGGCTCGAACCAGCACAGCGCACGGCGACTGATCAGGAGACCGAAGAGTCTACTACTGCGGCCACCGCTGCAGCCTGATGAGATGTATTCGACTGGCGCAATGCGTTGTTCATGACAACAGACATAGACCAACTGTTGATAACACCGTCAAAATCCAGAGGAAATGAAAACGTCGAGTGGAAGCTGATGTGCGCTTGTAGGAGGAAAATAAGAAATATAGTTTATGGTTTTTACAAAGAGAGATATTAAAAATATCAAATTATTTTTTTCAACTATCAAAAGATGTCAGATGGCCAAATGAATAATGCAAGTTCATGTGGCGTGCAAGAACATATTTCACATTCATTGTATAGCGGCATGTGTACTCGTATCTATCCAGTTGAAGGCTGTATGTAAAGCGGGACATACACGCTAATAATTTGCCAAGCAGCCTGGTTTACTAGCTATTATGGATACTCAGATTCATAATTCCGCCTCTGTATGATCTGTATGAATATTTTGGTGAACAAATCATAATGAACTGTCCCTCTGTATCTCTACCCACACTCCGCCGATACACGACGCGAATCCGTACCGAAAATCTCACTGCGTTTAAAAAGCTTCATTCCAACCAGGGTCTTTGATTTCTTGCCTTTCGTCTTTCACCCATAAGCAATTCGTCTATAAAATGCTCAAGCTGATGAGTCCTTTATTACCAACGGCAGATATGAGGGTAGAAGAAGTTGCGGCGGTTTTAAATATAATGATATTTCATCATCTTTCCTATTTTTAAATCTTCATAACACAAGAGATGAAAATATAAAATATACACACTCCTTGAAGTATTTTGAAGGGTACTCCATGTAAAATTTCTCTAAGAATTCTGGTTGCTATGCTCAAAACTCTAATTGTTATGGTAACCTGTTTATGGCATGTCTTTTCGGAAAACATTAGCGGGTATGTTTAGCTTTTGCTTGGAGTGATCCACCAGACAGTAGTAGCACTATCAGGTGGTTATCGAATGCCCAGATAACCGCCAAAAAAGAGAGACGATCCACATAAAGACAGGTTGCAGGGCGAGGTGTTTCTGCTCCCCCGATTACTCATTGCCGACGGTCTGTTTAATAACTGGTCAGATCCCAAACAGAGATGGAGAGATGAATTTTTCTATGGTAGGTCAAATATTTGGTATTCAATAGACACGCCAAAAAGGTAGGTTGCGCAAACAATACATTATAATCCACCAGTTCACTATTATAATAAGGTAGTGGTTCAATAAAAATGCATTTTATTTATTCTCCAACACACTCAAACAACAACTGATTATCCATGCTAAATCCACTAAACGTAAGGGTTAAATAGAAAAATTCGACTTTGTTTCTAGCCACTGTCAATTTCTTTGTGAGCCAAAAACAAAAATATACCTTTTGCCTTTGCGTTGCCGCACCGCCGACTGTATAAGCATACCCGCTGGTTGATATAACATTCATAAGAAAAAATTTCATGGATTACTCTTAATACCTAAAATTTAGAAGATTATTTTGTTTCTCAAATGTCTGGTAATATTTTATGACTAAATAGGATAATTTATTTGATTAATGCATTAATATGTAAATTGAATCAAGGACTAATTCATTCCCCATTTTCCTCCTTGCTGCCGCTAAATCGGTGCAATCCCAAAGATATTAGAGAGAAGAGTGGAACTATTTGAACTAGGCCCACAGACGCTACGCCGCTGTTCCTATTCTGGTATGAGCACACTGGCGTTTTCATGGAAGGGCTTGGGGGTTCATCGGAGTCTCTCCGCATGTTATACCTTCTGTGAAGTGTAGCTCTCTGGACTAAGCGAGTCCTCCCTGCTCTTCAATTTTCAATCTCCAAGACACACCCCCTCCCGGGATTTTTTCTGAACCTAGATCCTGGGCCTCCCCCCAGATTTTTTTCTGGATAACACCACTGATTGAGCAGTTTCGCAATCTATAGGAAACAATTACCATCGCAAAATCAACCACAACACTGGCACGCCTACAAATCACTTTTAAGAGCAAGTTTCAAATGTCCGTCATCGGACTAAACTAGACAGTCCCAGATAAATAAAATTAACAAATCATAACTGATCATAAATGTTTGTATTAGCAATTGTAAAAGCAAAAATTTGTGTCACGCGCCGTAACGGTGGCAAGTTTATAAATTGGTTTCAACTGCCATCGGTAGCGTTACGGTAACGGTACGCCGTCGGTATGGCGACGTTTACAATAAAGAACGAAAATATCGATTATCTCATCATACTGACAGCTTACCCTTCTCGGTACTGACATTCCGACAGACGACATCTCTACATAGTTTATTATTCTCCATTTGTTGTTCTAGCTCGAAAAAATAGTCTTCTAGAGTCATATTACTTTTGTCAGACGAGTAGAATTTCGAGTTACCAACACATCTTTCAATTTCTGTAAAAAAATGTTTATCATTCGAAAGAAGAGAGGGCCTCAAAGTGTTGTTTTTAAAACACATTTTTTCAGATATTTTTGGAGCCGATAACAGCCAGATTTCAATGAAACGGCTAAATGAATAAAATCAGAGTCGTCGGGAAAGTTGGCAAAAAAATCTGCTATTGCTTATGTACGGATAGGAATGATTTTTCACCCTTCTCGAACCCTTTAAAGTTTTCGTCAAATAGTCAAATATCAGAACGTCTAGCAAAAGAGGTGTTCCAAATGCCATTCAAATCAGACTTATCAGTTCTTAAAAAATGTGTTTTAAAAGGAGAACTTTAACGCCCTCTATAGGACAAACGAAGCACATTTGCTGAGAGGTAAATCATGTCCACTCGACTTATTTCAAATCCAAAAATACCTGGTACCTCTGTGTCCACGGAATATTGGGACACCCTGAATAACCACCGAATGTTAAAATTGAAGAAGTAACGTAAATACTCAATGTTTCTGGTTTTAATATTTGTTTTGTCTTTGTCGTCCATTTAAGTTTCTTCACTGAAACGGATACTGTTAATATTCTTCACCCATTTGTTCTTATATAAACATTATCATCAATGACCGAGCAAAGACATTAAAATGACCATTAACCTTACCCGCCTGCAGTTGGCCTTCATGTCAATGCATAATTATCGCCTTTAACCTTTACAATAAACAACTTTATGTTCTATTTCCGCGTCTATATAGGGTGTTCCAACGAAATGGAAAGTAGTTTTACGAGCAAACTGGAAAAGATATCAAAAATCTGTTGTCGTAGCATCCTTGATATGTTACTAGAGCATATTTTAAAATTATCTCAATAATAACTCCGCGCCATAGCAAACATATAGTTTTTAAATAGAACACCCTATATTTTACTGCATATTTGAATATAACTTCTAAAGAGAAGAAGTTTGATATCATAATAACGCATGGTTTCGATTGACAATTGTTTAAATATATGCTCAAGTGTTTGAAAAAATGCCCAGCTTTGACGGCTCGCAGCTCCGCCATTTTTTAAGGTATTTGGATAAATCTTAGTTCAAAAAAATGTTATTATCGTCGATTTTAAACTGATCTGGAACAGCCGCCAAAATAGTTTTCTATTTGAACATGGTATCTCAAATGGAACATCCTGTATGTTTCTACATTGTTAAATGTTTTTTTTTGTGAACTTTTTTATATTAGGTTTATATAACAAACTGCATCTTATATTTGAACATAAAATCAAATCTTTTATCAAAACAATATTTTTTATTAACACAAAAATAATTTGAGCCTTCGGCAATCAGTCGTTAATAAACTCGCTTATAGGATGTTTCGTAACCTCGGGTGTTGTAGGTTTCTCCTGGAAAATATCTCCTTTTACATGGCCCCAGAAAAAGAAGTCCTGAGGCGTCAGATCCGGAAATTTCGCTGGCTAAATGATTGGTCCGCCTTTCCCTATTCAACTGATAGGGCGCCATCGGTCTAGATACGGTTCTATATAGGTATATGTATAACATACAGCGGTTCCGTTTGAAATTTTTGAAAAAAGGTACATTTTGCTTTTTGAGATACCCTGTGTAAATAGACAGATATTTTCGCATTTCTGTCAGGTCAGCTCAAAATCAATTATAATAAATTTTCAGTGAACCAAAATTTATCTAAATTATCCGCCCTCACATTTGGTCATATTTTCACAGATTTCACAAACATCCTCTATCCAAATATGCAATAAATTATAGGGTATTCTATTTAAAAAAAATACACGTTTGCTATGACAGGAAGTTATAGAAACACCCTGTATATATTAAAATAATTTTAAATTATGCACTAGTAACATATGGTTGCCAAGAAAACAGATTTTTGATACATTTGCTAGTTTGGTCATAAAACGACTTTCCATTTTCGTTGGGACATCCCGTATAACTGATCATGGAATGTTATCACCAATACTATAATCACAGCTTAGATAACAATCAGGTATTAAACTCTCCTGTCAGTGTCAAAAACGGCCGCCATTTCCTCGGAGAAAGTCTAATGTAAATTCACCCAGTACAACAATGAAAGAGGTTTTAGTGTTCAGCAGCAGCCGGTGTGGCCCCAGGTCATCCCAGCGGCTGCAGATATTCTTTATCTTAAAATAATTTTTCAATATGGTATAGTGTACCGGCTGCTGCTGAGCACTAAAAACGGCTTTCTCCGCCGAAATGGCAGCCGGTTTTGACACTGACAGGAGAATTTCATAGCTGATTGTTATTTAAGCTGTGCTATAATCTGGAGCATCACATGAAGTGTGATTGTGATAGGGAACACTGACTTAGTGCTGTCTGCCCAGAAATGTAGGACTTGATAAAGTGCTATGGTGCTGAAGTGGTGAATCTTAGTGATCATATACTCTATGTGACAATGGAATTTTATCTCATCTAGCTGATACCTCTTTTCATGTCCAGTTGACGACCGGAACTCCAGCTAACATCAGTTTCACTCTTATTCCGTTTGTGAACAGTTTTCTTGGGAGACCGCTGTTCTCTTTGGGATAACATTCTCTGTTCTCTTTCTTGTTCATGGAGTTTCATTTTGGTTCTAGCCTGTTTGTACAGCCTGAGATGAGTTGCAGCGTCATCCACGAGACGCTGGGTAAGATATGGAATCCAATCCACTTCTTTGACCCTAGATAAAATAGATAAAACTGAATACATGAATGGCCACCATCTGAGCAACAGGTCTTTGTATGAGTACCTTTGGAAAATATACTACTGGTGCTGGGTTAGACTATTCAGCTCCTTACACTCTGAATTGCTCCTTATATCATTTGGCCATACAGAAGTAATAGCCAAAAGGACAGATGATAAGAAGTGACTCAGGTGCAAGTATTTGAAAAGTTTTCTGCAACAAAATGTTTGTTGGGGTTCCACAAATTACACTTCCATGCTTGATATCTTTCTTTCTATTTGCATTTCATTTGTATATAGGGTTCCAAGACAATTTGACAATTCATATGGATATAGAAAACTACTAAGATTACTTTTTTGAAACATCCAAGCAAACATTGCGCAAGATGCTTTTTTAAGTAATAATTTAGTCGTTTGCAATACTTGAAACCAACACTTGACATAGTATATTGCATATAGCCAAAAATAGTTTTATAGAATATGTAGAAGGATATGTACCTAGTACATGGAAAATTGAACGAATTTTCTCAAAATCGTTTCTAATTTTTTCTGAATTTATTTGAGATAAGATTTCAAAGTAAACTCCACATTTTCATTGCCACTTTTTGATTACAATGTGGCATGAATAGAACATGATTTTTCATTTCCTATCTCCCATCTCAACTTTGATTTTTCTCATGTATGCCATTTTTGCTTGGGAGAATAGCTTTTAATTCTGACTTCAAATATTATAGCATATAATGCATTTTTATAAAAAAAAATGTTTTCTGAGTAAGCCTTGAAATTATCATATAGTCATTTATTACATAGGGTATCAAAGATGATAACATGTTATGCATTGATTTAAAATTTTAAGTGCCTCATCTAGCTGGTTTAAACTCATTGTTCAAATGTTACAATTTTAATAAGCTGACATCTGAAACGACTTGTTGATATTCTAATTATTCCACCATGAAGAAGAGGAAAAGTGGTAATGTTATTGTGTAATTTGTTTGAAATTTGTTGACAGTGTAAAAACGACCTAGCATAAATTCGGAAATACTTTGAATTTCCAAACTGTCCAAGTTCCATTTTTTTATTTACCTAAGCAACTTGCCCCCATAAAGTACTCTGCGTGGTTTAGGTGAATGTCACAAAATCAGTATTGACTGTGATCTGTCAATATGTTAATCATGAGATGTGATATATATTGACTGTGTAGCCTGGACATCAGTAATTATTGATGTTACGCAGAAATCTTCTTCGAACCACAGTAAATACTGATTGCATGACGTTCGTTTTACCGTTTCCACAAAATGAGGTTTATATCTAACACAGACTTCAACTAATACTAGGGATTTCTCATCTAATAGATGTTGATTCAAAGCAAAGCCTTAATGAATAATTTAAGCTTTGTCTGTGAGTAATCCCTGTAGTTTACTGTAACCTGCCATAAATGATGGAACAACATATACTTGCATATACCTATTAGAAATGTTGATTGCAAATGTCTGTGCAGTTTTTCTAACAGCAGCCTCAGTAAATTCTGTATCCTTAGTGATGTACCGATACCATGAAGCAACATAATCTCTGATGATGTAGCCTAAAATCTCTTGAAGTGAGCTATCTATCAGTTCACTCCCTGTGACCCTACTATCACATTTTTGTTGTCTTTTTGGGCTTTCTAGTTGTCTGACCACTTGCTTGAGTCCTCCTTCATTCAATAAACTTGATGTTAACGGATTTCCAGCACATTTTGAATAGAATTTTCCTATATCACCTTGTTGTATGTACAGAAAGCTGGCACATCTGTAAGAACAAGGTTCATAGTATTATGCTTCTAGATGTAATTAGAAAAAATATACTTACCCAATAACAAATAAAGTAATACTAATTACGGCTGCAGTAAGCCATAATACTCCAAAACTAGAGATAAATAAAACTGATATTAGGCCTATCCATCCAGCTGTATTTGTTTCCATTTTTTGAAAGGCTAAAGTAGGTGTTGAAAGGACACAGTCCTTGTTTACCACTCACGTTCCTTCGGTAATGATGAATTATGTTATCTAAATAGTCTCACGCGTTCAAACAACAATGGAATTATTTATAAACAGCTTCTTATTAAAAGTTTATTATTTACGTTTTTAAACTTTTGGTTTTTAGGTTATGCGAAACTGTCAGTCTGTGACAAGACTTGTCGACTTTTGTTCAGTGGCGTATCTATGGATGTTTTATTTTGATAAAAACGCCGAAAAAACTACAGGTCAGAAAAGGTAAATAGAACAACTATTTAGTGGTTTCATCCGCCACCAGCGTTACTTTTCAATTGCATGTATGTATTGCATGATGGCGGTAGTTCAGAAAAGGATCCTTGGTGACAGATAAGGGTATTATGTAAAAAACCTAAAAATCGTAAAAAAACGACGAAGTGTCATCTTGCAGGCTAGGTAGTTTCTTTAATGTGTAAATTGTTCATTCCACGTTTGCTTACTATGATCGCTGTTCGCTGACGTTTAAGCAACACGTACAGCTACAAAATAGTTTACAGCAAGTGTTGTACAACAGCTTGTGCTAAGTTAACACCTTGTAGAAAAAACTACGTTATTTCACAAAAAACCTACAAAATGTCAAAAAAGTCCGACAAAATGTCACTTTTGAAAATACGTAATACCAGTGCGGAAGTAATGAGTAACAATCCGAGCACAAATGATTACTTCGATTACTAAGTTTTCCGCACCCGTATGTGTAGACTGAGCTCTTCATAGAGTTTTTATAGATGTACATGCTTAATTGAAGTGCCCATAGCTTCGAAGAGTTGCCATTACGAATTTTCTCAAGCCCATATACAGATCCACTTTCTAACTAAAAGACATGTTTTTGGAGCATTTCTAGTAAATATAAAGTATTTTCAGTTCTTAGTCACATATGAGCCTATCCTATAATAACCGTTCTCATTTTACATAAAATTTGATGATACCATGTTTGGTTTAAGCACCGCAGATATGAATAAATTAAGGATATTTATCTTCTTACAAACTAAAGCATAATATAGTCGTTCCATTGAAGTTATTCAAATTCGACATTAATTACACGACGCACATTGCCAAATCGATATAGTCATACTACTCATAGTAATCAAAGTATGTAATGAGTAAAATAATGTAGAAATTTAACCCAGATATGCCCAAAATTATCATGACTCTGACTTCTTCATAATTGTGCATTTAAGGGGCATTAATAGTATACAAGAACCCAACTAAAACTTCTGTAACTGATTTTTTTGTCAAAACAGTTGTTTGTGAAGGCGTCCTATATATAGGACAATAGGCACTTACTATGCTGCATTAAAATCATTTGGGCTTAGTATGATACATCAAAAACACTTAATATGCAGCGCCTTGTCACATTTTTTACTGCGAGTCGTGTTTTCTGATGACAAGCTGCACATCTTGTTTGTTTTTCTTGCGGTAGTACCCAGTGGTCCAGACGGTCATATCATAACTCCAAATTTTGGAATTGAGATGTGTGTCTCATCTGATACACACATTCTTTTTTATTTTTAACCAGCATAAAATTTGCAATGACTCTTCTAAAAGTTAAGTGGTCCGTGAGGGCGAAACGTCAAGTAAAAATATTTTACGACGGCCTAAAACTACCCAAAAACCAACCAAATATGATAAGGATTGTCAAAAGCTAACACTCTAAATGCTCTTTCACATAGTTATAACGTTTCTCCTTCTTTGCCTGCTTGCATGTTCCTTTGTTTGCTTCTGTCAATTGACTCAAGGGTATATCGTCTTCTGAGTCCGTATCACATTTTTACTCTGCATTTGAGTGGCGAATAAACATTTATTTGTTAATTTATTTTTTCGTTGATTGTCCTACCTGGGACCAAGCCCAGACCATGTCGATTATAGCTGACTGTGGTTGGACGTCGGACGAAATTACTAGAAATACCTTTTATTTCGAAAACGGTGCTGCGTCTCAAGAAAAAATTTCGGAACTGAAAATATGTGAACTCAATTTTGTTGAGTATATAAAGTGGTGCAAAGTACTTCGAAATTTTTCTTTTCATAAAAATCTCGAATAGCGTAAACTAATTGTGAAAAGGCATATATGGTTACTCCAACTATTCAAGGAATCTCAATGCAAGATACTATTGCTTATAACGGACATATTATACTTACGTAATGCTACATTTTAATTTTGAATTCGGAGTTTATATTTCATATGCCCTTAAGTGTTGTAAAGTGTTATTCATCCAATAGCGGACTTCGACGAGTTAGGGAGGATATGCCGTGTCAAATCGATATTCCCACCAAGTTTGTGCTTCTAAAATCAAATCCATTAGCTCACCTTAACTTTATCTAGTTTTCGATGTTGTCCTGAGATGGTGCTGACGCTGTCACGGAAAATTTGTGGGGCATTCAAATGTATAAATCGTCAGAGATAAAGTATGTGAGGGTAACATTTCGGAGCTTAGATAGAAAAGATGGCAAAAATTTGGGCTACAATTAAGGCAATCCTAACACGATTAGTTTTTGCCACACACGGATTCGTCGGTATCTGGCAAGTAACTATTTTCAAAAATAATCCGTTTTATTGGTATTTGAGTTCGCCGATCATACTATTGTTTTTTGAAGGAATTTTCACGCTGATCATCAAGGAGAACCAGGAATGGAAATGGTAAGAAATGTACCTTAGCCTTTACCTTATGATTGTTTTAATTTAGCTACTTTTTAAATTTTGAATAAATCGAGACATAACTATACCTATATATGACAAAAGGTTTGACTTTACTTTCTCCTAAAATCTTGCAGAAAGATGATCACGGCGTTCGTTGCTGATGTTACTAACAGAATTGCTTTTGTTTCGGAAATTATTATTGAATATTCTAACCCATTACCGAATCAGATTGAGTCAAAACTATACGGGGTGTTTGCAAAACATGGGTCAAACATTCAAGAGGTGATTCTTTGAAATCAGTATTAAGACTATTTTGATCTTGTATGATTTTCGAGAAACTGCTACCTATCGATCAAAAACTTTCAAAAGTAACACTTTTATCAGTAATAATAGCAAGTTAAACTTGTTAATATACAAAAACTATTCAAAATGGCTAACTTCAGATAGATTGTGAGCCTCTAATATATTCGTTTTATAGAATGCTGAGATCTTTCAAATACGTGGACAATCTCTGTTGTGTTCAACCAGTAATTATCCGATTTCCCTACATTGTTCACCTTTGGATGGTCTTATTAGGTGATAATGGGCAGGGAGGCCGTGGTCCCCTTTGGGATTTTTAGAATTTAGCCTCCCCCTCCCCCTGAAAAAATTTACTACACCCCGCTCTTCGAAATATTTTAGGGGCAGCTAAACTTTCACAAAAACTTATTTCTGGCCGATGATTGCCCCCTCCTCTTCTGAGAAAAATTCCTAAGGGCGCACATGGGTCCTCCAATACAAGAATTCCGAATGGAACTTGTAGATGTAACTCAGGAAGAAATGGATCTCTTGTATTTGAAAGAGATGGGCAGTCTGTGACGAGAAGATTGGAACCTTACATCCTAGCTAGAGATAGTTATTTTAAACAATAATTTTTGGTAACAGAAAATTTTTATTTTTTAAAATTCCATTTTGTATATTTAAAACGAGGCAATTTTTCGGAAATCCCCAAAGAACAAAATAGCCTTAAAATAATCCAAAGAAGCAAAGAACCTCCCCTTGAATTTGTACCTAATGTTTTGGAAACACCTCACATAACCACATACAAGCTAAAAATAAAGCGAATTTGTTGTTTTTATGTAGCAGATATTTAAGCTAACTTCTTCAATAAATGTTACTGTGAACGTTTTACAGAAAAAACGACACTTCCTTGAATTCCTGAAGAAATTTCTGAAGTTTTTAATTTTTTTTATTGCCTTTTGTGTAATTTGAATGCAAAATTTGACTTAATAAAAAATGTCGTCAAGCTACGTTCATTTGTAAAGCTTATGTTCGGCACAAGTTAGCCCTTCCTTCGCTTATCTATTTTGTTTGAAAAATTTCTCGATCAAATAACTTCCGTCATTTATACATTAGAAGCAACAATTTCCTCGTTAATTTTCGTGGGAGGTATCAACAAGAATTGCTATAATGGCTGTGCAAGGCAAAAATGCATTTTTAAATCCATTCTCATTTCAAATTAATTTGGCATTTTTCATAATCATTTTATTAATCTGGCATTTCTAATGTGGTCTATATAACGGAAGTATTTTTATCTATATGACCTACATGAGTCTACTATTTGTTTCTCATCCACAGTTATTTGCATTTTACAATTCCCAGCTTATCTGTAACTGTATGAACGAGTGTTCTCTGATGAGTAATATACTTACACCTGATATTTAAAACGCCTGAAAAAATGCAGATAAAGTATTTTGGTGCCACAATTGTAAAATCTAGTTTGCTAAAGTATATCTCAGTCAAACACACAGACACACACACACAAATGTAGTGATAATGTAAAAGAAAAAAAGTAACTAAATGGGAAAACACAGGCTTTGTCGTGCCATTTTCATACGGTCTCTTTTTACATTTCATTCCGTTATAGCAATATGGTTAGTAACAAAAGTGAAAAATGATCAGTGGTTTTGGTATCTCACATTACCAATATTTTTCCTCGTATTTGAAAGTATCACAACGTTTAGCATCAGGCAGAAACTTGAGTGGAGATGGTAAGTTCATAACTGTACATTTAAAAATTATACATGATACTATAGTTCAGCGATTGTCTCAGTAATCAAAACTTAAAAATGGAGTCTAATGCATTTTCAAATTATCCAAACATTTGTTAATAGGTGAGCAAGAAAAACATAATGACGTGAACGTATTGCTTTAAGTGCGGCTTCAGAAAAACGTAACGTGAAATAAATGCCAAAGTGTTTTGAAGATTTGAACATGATTAAACACTTTTCAAAATCTTTACCATGTCAGAGGCAAAACTACAAATGAAAATTTCCTCCAAAGGTATCCAAATCTAAAACACCATCAATAAAGGAATGCTTCGCTAACTCAAAAACCTACCATACATATATGTGTGGATTGAGTTCTTGAGTTAGCGAAGTTATAATATCGTACTCTAAGAATATCTGAAATTGGAAAAATCGGTGAAAATGCTGGTTTTTCCAGTTACTTCAAATTTTCTGATAAGACATCCTTATTTTGACATATATATATATATATATATATATATATATATATATATATATATATATATATATATATATATATATATATATAGTAGGAAAACAATGGGCAAAATCCGCAAAAAGGAGAAAAGTGGATTCGAGCAGAAAATAGGATAGGTAACCCGAGCGATACGTATTTCTGCTGGTTGGCTTCATCAGGCCCGAAATGAATGCACATATGCAACTACAAAAGTAGTTACACATGACGAAGATGAAGAGGGGAAAAAATAACACACGAAGTCCACAACAAGAGCCAACCTACACGTTGTAGTATAAAATGGCCGGAAGATCTTGAATTTTCAAGGCGACATCTAACCACAACCACGCGGCCGGTTATAGCCACTTGCTGTGGTACTTTAAGAACAAAGGATCTACTTCTACTACTACTACTTTTTGTTATATTCATATATATATATATATATATATATATATATATATATATATGAGAAGTAGTCATTGCCAAAGCCAACGACAAGTTGGGTATAATATACAATTACTTGTTAGTTGGGAAATTGGCAAAACTTTTAGGCTTAAGTTGACTCTTTTGACGATAAAATCAAGCTTTCGGCATTCTCTATGGAGCCATCATCAGGATTTCGTCGGTGAGGTATATATATATATACAGGGTGACTTTGAAGTTGAGTCATTAATTTTCAGATAATGATTGTAGAAGGAAGATAAACCAAAATATGTGTGTAAAAATAAAAAAAAATAAAAAAAAATTTTTACCTTGTTTTATAAAGTATCCTCCCGACAAGTATTTCAGTGCGGACCTGTATTTGATCGTGAGGTCCCCTGTGAGGTCTTAAGTCACCTGATTCACGAGCCCGTTGTACTACATTAACAAAGGCACGAGGGGTTGGTTGCACTCGATTGGGAAACCGATCCGCATAAACATGTGCCATTTTTTATTTCGTTTGAGCCACGCAACAGACACTATTTACACGCGTTACCGACTGACACTAACTGTATGTATAACTGAACTGAATAAAATAATTGTAAAAACATCGTTCCAAATTCTTTCGCTTTTTTGTTTCCGATGCGATGAACCGATAAGGCGGATTATATCCGTTGTTCCCAGCACGATTACATGATATTATTATTGAGACAGGGCGGTACTCAAACTTCCAAAGGGCTATAACTTTGTTACTTTAATTTTACCAGAAAAATGGTAAAGGAAAAAAACATTTCTTTTGATCAGATCTACTCACTGTTAAAATAAATGACTCAACTTCGAAGTCACCCTGTATATACAGGGTTATCCAAATTAAGTGTCCACCATTGGTAACTTTGTTATTAGTAAAAATACAAAGTTGTTTAAATTAGCAAACTAGTAGCATTTTTAACGCTGGTAAAAATGAGAAATAAAAAAAAACAATTGAGAGTCGTTATTTTGATTTTTTTCAGTAAAATAACATTTTTTTAAATGGAAACCCCTGTATATTATATTTTTTTCTGTTAAAGCATCAAATTTTAAACAAAAAAGTTCATAATGACTTTTCCGCTAAAGTCAAAAATAAAGTCAAAATAACGATAAATATTTTTAATTATTTGCAGTATTATAATATTAAGACGGCTATGAAAACAACATGGCGTTCGCGATTTGACAGCATTAAGATAAGCGACAAATTGTTAAACTGGACATACTCGCAACTAGAAGGCTTTGGAAAACAATGATAAAATCAAATAATGTCAAACATTAGTGTAAATACTTGTTTATAAGCTTTATTGTGTCATTAATTTAAAGAAAAATGTTCTCCCATGAAGAAAAGTGTGATATGTTAGAATGCTATTTAGTGTGCAGAAAATCCTCCTTGAGAGCAAGAGAATACTACAGTAAATTATATCCCGCTCGCATTCAACCGTATGAACGATATTTTCTGAGACTTTATCGAAAATTTAGGGGCAACGAAAATGTTTTTGCTAAAACAAGGGCAAAAAAGAATTCATAATAAGCGAGGCCACGGAAATTGCAGTTATTGGATATTTTGAAGCTTATCGTGAGAATTCAATAGCAGATATTCTCAAGGACTCTAATTTCAGTTATGGTACTGTTCAAAGGATTTTAAAAAAATACAAATTTATTCCGTATAAGTACCGACCAGTTCAAACGCTTTTGGCAGGGGATCCGGAGAGAAGACTTGTTTTTTGCCATTGGTATCTTAGCTTCTGTCGCCAAAATGTAAATAACTTTCGTTACCTTTTATGGACAGATGAATCAAATTTTTCAAATTCTGGAATGTTTAATAGAAAAAACCACCATTATTGGTCAAGAGAAAATCTTTTGTTAGTACATCCAAGAGGCCCACAAGTCCGTTTCAGTTTCAACGTTTGGTGCGGTATAATTGGTTCAAAAATTGTTGGCCCGTTTTTTTATGAGGGAACCCTAACTGGTGAAAGATATGTGGAATTTATGTCAGAAATTCTGACTAATTTCTTAGACGAATTGGATCTTATAAGTAGACATCATCTGAATTTTCAGCAAGATGGCGCACCTGCCCACAACTCCAGAGGTACTTATCATTTTCTAAGTACTACTTTTAATGATCAGTGGATAGGAACAAATGGCCCAATACAGTGGCCTCCCAGATCACCAGATCTAAACCCACTTGATTACTTCTTGTGGGGTTACTTAAAGAACCACATTTACAAGCGAAGGTACGATAACCTTGACGCGTTAAAGACTGCAGTTAGGGAAAAGATTACCCAGATAGATGGTAGGACCATACTTAAGACAGTTCGAGCAGTTGAAAAACGTGCCCAAAAATGTATTGAAGAACAAGGTGGTGTTTTCGAGCATCTTCTTTAAAAAAAATTGTTATTGTATTTTGTAAGATTATAAGTTGATGTTGAAAATAAAGTTTGTCGATACAATTTAATTGTTTCAGATTGGAGGCCATAACTTCAACAATTTGTAACCTAGGAGAAAAGTTATTGTAAGCTTTTTTGTTTAAAATTTGATGCTTTAACTGAAAAAAATATAATATACAGGGGTTTCCATTTAAAAAAAATGTTATTTTACTGAAAAAAATCAAAATAACGACTCTCAATTGTTTTTTTTATTTCTCATTTTTACCAGCGTTAAAAATGCTACTAGTTTGCTAATTCAAACAACTTTGTATTTTCACTAATAACAAAGTTACTAATGGTGGACACTTAATTTGGATAACCCTGTATATACATATATAACTGTGTTTGCCAAGTATTGCTTTCCTGACAAAAAACGTGAGACTAAAGAGAATCAGCGAATTAGCCTGCTTGTGATATCCTACGTTTAAAATACGACTTTTTCCGATTTTTGGTGATTTTCCAGATAAGAAATCAGAACTGAAAACAACGTAAAAAAGTACAAATAAACAGTATGTTACTGTTTTAGCCAAATTGAGAAAACGTCAAAAATTGAAGAAAACCAGCAAGTATGCTGTTTCGCCCATGTTCGGAAGACAAATCAAAATTTTGACTATGGAACCTGAAAGAATGGATAAAAATACACGACATTGCCGAGTTTTTAAGTTAGCCAACCGATCACATGCTACGTTTTAATTGTCAAAAATTATAGACAATCAGTGAAATTGTGATTTTCCGATTTTTAGAGATTATCCAGGTAGAAATTAATGATTTTTGTTTATGGATGAAGGAACGCAAGAAAGCGCTGATATGCTCTCACAGTGAATTTTCAAGGTTGAGAAATTTTTAATACCTAACAAAAAATTCGAAAAAATGTTTGAATCATTTTATACGTTCCACAAATGTATAGAAAATCATATAACAATGCAACATCTGTAATTTTTTCAAAATTATTTGAGCAAAATTGAGGCTGTAAAAAATACGTTTTAGAGATTAGGGGCCCCTTGAGCGACATATTGATATGAAAATTTGGTCAAGGTGATTTGACCTAATATGCCTTAATTTGGGTTGATCTAGTTTCGGACAGCGAGTTCTACCAAAGAGCCGTTCATTTCGGCTGGTCGTAGTACAGATCACCTAGGCTTGATCTGGCGGCAAAAACACATCTCGTCAATATGGGCAGCTGCTGGAAAAAATCTGGGTTATTTGATTAGGGCTCAGAAGCACCTTTCTCCACATGACCTCCTCATTCTGTAAAAGGCAAAATAAAATTTCTTTGAGATCATCATAGAAGCCGGGGTGCCCTGGCATTTAGGCTTCTGCCTGTGTGGCTGCTTCGGTGTAAAGAAAATCTTAGTGGGCAATTATCATATAACGTATGGCTCCGCCTGTAGCCTTTCTTATGTCTAAAACATATTTCATTGAGAATACTTTTTAAAAACTTTGACATCACATTATTTTCTATCGCGGTATGACCTTGATTTACACCAATAGATATGTTGTAAAACATCAAGCCATCATTAATGCGATTGGGCATAAAATACGTTTTGAAAGTTGCATATAACTGTCAATCGGGCGATTCCTAACAATAAATCCCGCAAATTGCCCGGAAATTATATTGGAGTGGCTTGATGACATTGCTGTCTGCCGTTTATGCTGACTCACAGTCAGGAGTTTCATCATACACACCTTTCTCAGCAAGTTACCGCCAAAGATTATAGAAATGGGATGAGATTTAAGTTGCTTTTTATGTCGACCAAAATGTTATAATCAGATATTAATGTCGCATGTCACTTTTTTCAACAGCCTTGAGGAGTGTTATTAATACGTTTAGTTGTTTCATGGTCTGTAAGAGATTACTGAAAAACAATGTTATCAGTTTCGTTTTTACCAAAAAATGCATATTCTCAGCATCTTTCATGCATTTTTTGTACAAATAATAGTACAGCTCTAAAATTATACGTATGTGAATATTCCCCTTTTGTGGAAGAATGAAGCGGGTGATAACTTGTTTTCTTATAGTAGTACTTAGTGGTTTTTCTTTATCTATTTATTCACCAATTGCATAAATAAATTACTTTTATTATTATTCATTGAAACTATTGCTCTAGGTTTTGTCCTTCGGTATTCTTGTATTTGACGAGTATAGTACCAGCAATATGGTTACTTGAACTGGACAAGGTCGACAGGAGGATGAAAGCTATAGGAGAAATACCACTAAACTTAACCACAGGATCACAGTTGAAAGATTTTAATGATTTAATCGGGGTATGTTATATTTTGAGTTTGTCTTAGTTATATAAGAAATCTACCGCATAGCAATAACTACGAAGAAAATAATGACAGACGACTTTTGGAATCGAAAATAACGTATGTCTCAAAAGTTTTGGTATAGAATTTTTTTACATAAAAATCTTTTTACAAGGTTTTGTTTATTAGGCCCGCTAAGTCATTATCTATGATCCAAGAATACGATTTCATAGTACTTCATAAACACGGGCCAAAAGCAGCTCAACATGAATTGTCTCAGAGTGAATCCATTTTTACTGGCGACGCGTAAGAATGGAAAATGTAATATTTCGGATATTTCACCGGCCATTTTGTCACTGGATTGCCTCAGCAACCGTTCCAACGATTTTAATTTAAAAAGTATTAAGATATAAGCCAGCATTATCTACTACATCTCCAATTCCATCAAAATAGCTGCAATTAACAACCTAAATTCAGTAAAGGTGCGCATGAGCCTTAACAAAGCGTAATTTTCTGCCAACAGTGCATATCAGTTTTAGAAAGACTTTAATGTTGTGCCAAAACGGTTGAGACACATGTTAATAGGGGAACGTAGTAACGTAGCATATTTTACGATTATTACTTTCAGGTGCAAATTAAACTTCCAGATATTTCACTCACTACAGAAACCTGGATTACACTGATAGAACAATTTCTGATGCTAATACTGATTATAGGAAGATGGATGCTGCCAAAAGGCGACTTAACTAGAGATCAGCTTAGCCAGCTGTTGCTAGTTTATATAGGTAGGTATGCATGCTAAACTACAAGATATTATGATACTACTAAGTATAAAATCATTTCTGAATTTTTGAGTAACCTTAAAAATAGAAGAAAGTTGCGAATAGTGCGAGAAAAAAATTCGAAGTTACCTTATAACTTTGGACGCCTCTGCAATATTTTTCATTGCGCCCAAAAATTAACTAGGATCCTTAAGATATACCGACAGATGTAAGGGAACTTCATTCCTCAATACATATTGTTATGCAACTTGGAAAACGTTCACATCGTTTCAATTAATCATCAGTTTGCATGCCGCCCTAATAAATCGACTGACCTAGCTCTTCATTCATTCTTATTCATTTTTGTATAATGATGTTTAATAATAATTGTTCTTTATCTGAATCGGGCGTGCCTTGAAAAGGTATGGATTTGGATCAAGCCACATCTACTCTAAATGATGCTGGTTATACAGAGCGTCTGAAAGTTCCGGAATCCCACGATAATTTGTAAACTAATAATATTAAGAAAAACTAAGCCCCGCTATTGATATATTTCCCAGCTATCTAATGGCGACCTTGGATTGGACCTTGACCATTGTCTTTAAGTTAAATGGAACACTAATTTTGACCTTAGGAGGTCAAGGTTTCTCAGGCTCAGTGATATAACTTGAAAACCAGTAGTAGACATTGTTTTCATGATTTTTCCCCGATTATCCAATACTGACCGTGGATCTGAGCTCAACAATGATGAGCTTCAAGGTCATGTGAAGGTCAAATCGATTTTTGTTTACAGGGAATAATCGTGAAAAAACAATTCAGTTTATCTGGGGAATACACAGTTTTCTGAATTATCAAGAAATTAAGGTAAGCTTGTGGTTGGCCCTGATTGGTCAAGTCCAAGGTCAAGTCCCTAAAATGGGCAGGGGCATATCGGAACACAAAATGTTCCCTTTCCTCATCAATCGCGGAGCTTAGTTTTTTGTAGGCTGTAGTCTTTTGTAAATGAAACCACAGGTGCTGGATTGAAATATTTGCTGTTTTGGCTACCACGGTGGCCTCTTTCAAGTACAAACTGACAATTATTTTAGTTCAACATCTGTGGTTACATTTGTCGGCTAGTAAAGCATGAAGACTGATTACTGACACAACCACACGATGAGTTTTAGAAGTTACATTAACATGAGTAAGCCCATCCTGGCGATAAAGTTTGTAATCAGGATTTTGCGATAATGTATAATTAGTCGTTTCAAGTACAGCGTAAAGTTCTACCATTAAAATTCTTTTAGGTACTGCTGCCGACATCATAGAATTTTTTGATTCCTTCAAAGATGATAAAATCGCATCCGAACCAATACTCGTTCTGTTGACTTTGGGCATTTGGTAATCATTATTTAGTATTGTCGTACCCACGAATTCTACCAAAATATGCTTGCAGGTCATGGAGTTTGATGCAATTCACTGTGGTACTAACTGCAACTAAAGCAAGAAGATCAAGATTAACCACCACCAAACCCAGTATTAAAAGGTACAGTTCACGAAATCCAATTGTTTGTCAATTTTGGCCTAACAAAGTTTAAAAACCGCTTTAAAATAAAGTGATCTCAAAATACTGATCTTGGTCTTGTAAAGCAAGGTTTAAGCTTTAATTTAGCTACTTGACGATCTCAAAAATTATAGTTTTTAACCTAGTTTTTAAGCATTGAATACACTCATTTTTGGGGGTGTCAGTCATCAAATCGCTTATGACTGGAAAACGGGCAGCTTTAAAGAAAACTTAATGGATTGTTTGGAATCAGCCAAGAAACCTGAACAAAATTTTTCCGGCTTTTTTACTTAGAAATAAATAATAGTTTTAAAAAACTAAAAAAACACGTCTTTATAGCTAACCGAACTAAAATGTAGAAAATAATTTTTAATCACAAAGGGTTTATATTACAGTAAGTAGTAGATGGTCGAACAATCAATCATAATTAATGGCCTCAAAATAAAATTATAACAAAATGTAGGTTATTAGCAGAATAACTCAATTCAGAGTAAAAATCGTGGGGTGCTTGATATATTAAATGTTACAATCATTCTATTGGCAACTATCTATGAGAGGAGAGTAATGAAAATGTAGTAAAATGCACCCTACGTTTTTTACTCTGAATTGAATTATTCTGTTAATAACTTAAATTTTATTATATTTTTATTTTGAGCTCATTAATTATGATTGCTTCAAATTAATCAAACTTCAGGAAATTGGTGAAAATTATGCTCAAAGATTCCATTACATACATACATACATACATACATACAGGTCAAGCTATTAAAAGCGTGTTAAAAAAAATAAAAAAAGGTATACCACAATCTGCCTCCTGTGAGGATTGAACTCACGACCTCTGGTTTAGACGACCAGTGCTCTGCCACTGAGCTACAGAGGCTTGTAATTTCGCTATTCGTAAGGCTGCATTTCAAATCCGTGGCTTTTTATTAACATATCTGCTTTTTACAGAATTTTATGAATAAAGATAATGGAAAACTGTTATCAAATTACTCATCGGTCCTTGATACGTGTGCGAAGTTTCAAATTAATAAAACTTCTGTAAATTGGTGAAAATTATGCTCAAAGATTCGGTTACATACTGTATGTATATTAGCTTGGTCATACAGGAAAAGCTAATATAAGCGTGTTAAAAATGCTTAAAAATTCGGTAAAAAAAATATAACTTTTGATGTCGCCAAGTATAAAATTCGAAGTTAAAACAACTTTGCTCTACAAGACCTTGAGGAGTATTTTGAGATTCTTTTATTTTAAAGCGATTTCAAACTTGTTTTTCAGGACAAAATTGGCGAAATTTTGGTTTTCGAATACACCAGTTCCATTACATCTACTGTAAATTCCACCAGATTTTCCAGGGGCGGATTTAAAAAATATTTTTGGGATGGGTCACGATTCATGTTCAGGGAACATACCGGCGATTGAAAACTAGAGGGAAGAGGTCGGTGGCGGCAGCGTCTGCTGCATCAGAGCTTCTTACAGCTACTGCCCTTGTGACAATTGAAGAACGGGGGAAGGGTATCGGTAATTAGCAATGAAGAGCAAGGGAAGTATCGGCGATTGAAAATTAAAGAGCCCGTTCAAATTTTGTTTGAACTAGGATATTTCACGGAGGGTCCGGACGCCCAGGACAGCCTCCCTGGATCAGTCACTGACATTTGCATAAACATTGAGATGGCAAGAATCAATTTTCTATAGACACATCACGTAAGCAGTACGTTAAGCGAAGCTGCTCTCTTTTATATAGCTATCAGCTTTCGGAAAAAGGTTCTGATGAAATTACTGATTTACATTCAATTGTTTTTTTGCAAAAATAATTTGCCCATTTTCACCCTGTTTTTTGTACCAGTTTTTTTTAGCTGGATTCGTAGTTGTTCTTGGTGCTTGGACTGATTCAAATGTGGTCAATATTTTCATTTAATTTTTTCAGATCTGATAACTGTTGCACTATAGATGTTTGCAGTATTGTCCTGAATATCACGCTACAGGATGCTCCATTCCTTGCGTTCAGATTGTTACTGATAACTCATTTCAAGATTATCTCTTACATGAATGTGTTTTTCACTTGCAAGAATACTCTAGTCATACTTTTACAAGTAAGTGCTACTATCCAAAGGTATTTCTCATTATATAATATAAAATAGTTCAACATAATGATGTAGAAACATATACTAAGTGACATTAGAAGTGTTACACCCAGAAAAAATAATTTCTTCAACTTGTTTTTTTTTGGCAACACTGACTATATTTAAAGCATCAATGCCATCGTTTTATCTTTGTTTTTGTTTACCTTTGTTAAAAGGTTATCTCTTAGTTTTTGTGAAGAAGGCAGTTCCTAAGAGCTGAGTAGTTCAGATATTTTAGTTATTACCCTTTCAATTACTAGTGTTAAGCATAACAAAATGCCACGAGTTCGAAGACGTCCAAATTATCACCAGGTTAGCGACTTTGATAGTGGTAGAATTATTGCCTATCGCGAAATTTCCGCCGTGTTAATTGTACTGCAATGACGGTACGAGGGATGTCTTTTAAGTTTTGCATATAGAAACTTAGTAGGCCGCGCGATCTTTAGTAAACTTAAATTCAAAGTTTCACAACAATACGTGGAGTGTTCTCACTACAGTGAATTTTTAAGTGTCACCAAGTCATTAGAAAAATGGAACTCAACCGAGAACATTTTCGCGCCATAGTTTATTACAACTTTCAGAGACAATTATCGCAACAAGAATGCCTTGCTGAGTTACTGTCTGTTTTCGGCAACGAAGCGCCACATCAGTCGACAATTTCCTGTTGGTATGGAGAATTCAAACGTGGACAGGTGAGTCTTAGCGACGATCCCAGTGTGGGTGCACCAAAAACGGCAGTCACCCAGGAAAACGTCGATGCTGTGCGCAAACTCATGATTGAAGATAGACATGTAACATATCGCGAGATTGAGGCGTCCTTGAAGATCTCAAAGACCTCAATTCAAACAATTTCACATGCAGAATTAGGAGTAAGAAAATTAGTTTCTCGTTGGATACCCCACCTGTTGACTGAATAGTAGAAAGCAGCCAGGGTTAATTGGTGTCAAAAAACGCTTGACCGTTTCAATTCCGGAAACTCAAAAAATGTGTACAGCATTGTTAGTGGTGATGAATCGTGGATTTACTGTTATGAACCAGAAAATAAACGACAGTCGGTTGTTTGGGTGTTCTAAGGTGAAGAAGAGCCAACAAAAGTCATCTGTTCTCGAAGTGTTTCGAAAAAGGTGGTCGCGACATTTGTGTCAAAAGCGGGTCATATTGCAACAATTCCTCTTAATGAACAAAGAACTGTTAAAAATCAATCCCGAAAGAAGAATCATCCTCCACCAAGACAATGCAAGCTCGCACACAGACCAAAAAACAGGGCAGTATTTAACGGAAGAAAAGTGGAATTATTGGACCATCCTTCATATAGTTCCGATCTAAGTCCTAACGATTTCTTTACTTTCCCGAAAAGTAAAAACAAACTGCGTGGTCAAAGGTTCCAGTCACCAGAAGAAGCAGTTGACGCATTCAAAAATGCCGTTTTGGATCTGCCAGCAAACGAGGGGAATAAGTGCTTCGAAAATTGGTTCGAGCGCATGGAGATGTGTATTAATCTTCGTGGAGAATACTAAAGTCATTTAAAACTACCTACCGTAATGTTTTATTTCCATATGCAAAACTTAAAAGACATCCCTCGTAATGCGTGTGTGTATAGAAGAAGGTAGAGAAACACGAAGAAGGCCAACTACCGAGGCGTACCACAGAGCCTCAGATCGCTGACCAATGGTTTGGAGAAGAAGGTAGACATGTTACTATGCGTACACTCTATCGCCACATTCGAGCCTTTGGATTTTTTTCGTACCGTCTACGGTTAGTGCTTCCTCTGACTGCGGACCACTGTATCAACGTTAGAGCTAGAGCAGAGAACGGCAACATTGGGAGGCAGAATGGCATAATGTCATCTTCATCTACGAATCGCGATTCTGTCTAGGTACGCACGATAGACGTAGAGGGTAAGACGCCGCCGTGGAGCACGGCGTGATATTGGATTTGCTATTGAGAGGCACGTACACAGGACTGTTGGAGTAATGGTTTGAGGAGCTATTTCCTATTGTAGCCGATCACCCCTTTTCTTTGTCAAAGCAATATTACCGCTGCGCGTTATGTTGATGATGTTTTACAAACCAATTTACTGCCGTATCTATGGGGCTGTCCACACGGACTTTCTACAAGAAGCAGGCGTTAATGTTTTGCCACCCCGTTCACCGGATTTAAATCCCATCGAACATGTGTGGGCTAGGATGGGGAGGAGACTATCCACTTTGCACCATCCATCACAGACTCTGCCACAGCTATTCCACGGAGTTCGAGTTTCTTGGAATGAGGTGCCACAACCAGACATCGATTATCTCATTTTGTTGATGACTAGACGTATACAGGGGTGTATTCAGCTGCTGGGTCGCCCAACACATTATTATTTTTCTTCTTTTTACTTGCCAATAAATTTTCGTGAGAATATTATCGTTTCATTCTTGATGTAAGACTAACTCATTGCCAAAAAATCAAGTTGAAGAAATTATTTTTCTGCCTGTAACACTTCTAATGTCATTGAGTATATTAGAACGGCAGCAAAGCATCTAATAATAGCGGTTTACTCTAAGGCACACCTTTTTATGAAGTTACATAAAAAACTAGGCCACTTGAATATACCGATGTTTTTCAGATGTATAGGTTGTATGTTGTCTACAGTGAGCATAACAAAAAGGTAGATGATCACGAGCAACTTACTAACATTTCGATCATTTCAAAAGACATCGGTTATAACAGAAGACCTAGGAGACCTTCTACCAGAGCATACAGAAGCAGTGTCAGACGATCTCGGGAAGAAGTAAATTATTCTAGTGAGAGTGACGGAGATCGCAGCAAACAAAAAAGGTACAAGGAGTGTGCAAAAAATGGCGTCAAGTAGGTTCACCCTGAACTTCCTACATGTTATGATCAGTGCAATTTTAAGCCATCCCAGAAAAAAGTCAGTTACGAACATTTACAAAAGAGAAATTAAACGTATTAAGGCGGCTCCGACGCAGTGAGTTTCAGGCCATTTACAAGGGTTTAGCTGCTTCGGAATTGATGCTCCATTTTTGTATATATTTGAATAAAATTTATACAGTATGTTCAGAAGACAATTGTCCAGGGTGCTATAGAGCCACTTTTCTAAAAAAAAAAATTTTTTTAAGAAGTTATGGTGGCTGGAAGTGCAGATAATTGTTGTTCGACTTCTCGATCTTTTTAAAAATAACCCAGAGGAAAAAACGAAAAAGTGGCTCTATAGCACCCTGTGGAGTCTTGTTTTTAGTGCACTGTGAAAATTTCATTGAAAAATATTCAAAAATGAAGCGTCAATTTTGAAGCGCGAAAACCTCTGCAAATAGGCTTTTACACGAATTTTATCCACTATCTCGTGCTGCCAGTCGAAGCAACGCGGCGGTATGTACGGACTAAGAAAGGACGTATTCAGATAATTTGTTGTCCCAAGTTAAACAGTAGCAGTTTTAACGTCGGTCGTTCGAGATAAACATCGGACCAGTAAGTGATATTTTTAATAGACTTCAATGAAAGAGGGGAAATTTTTAATCGATTTTGATCATTTCTTTTTATACAATAGGCCATGCTTCAGAGGTGATACCACAAAAAATCATATTTGTTCAATCACCCCAATATGGATATCAAATGGAAGCACTTGTACAAAACAGTAATACGAAAACAGTTTCAAATCAAGATGGCGGCCGTCACAAAATGGCGAATAATATACTTGCTAATATCTCAAATAAGAGTCGTCGCCTTGTAGAATACAGTACTTCACTAAAAATTTGATTCCAAGATTGCCGCCGTTTCGAAATCGCGAGTTACATATTTTTGTACAAAACCCCCAATTTACATATCAAATGAAAAGACTTGACATGTGTGGTAAAATACAGAACTTTGTGACCAAAAGTTTCCAGGTGGTTCCAGGGTCATTGGAGGCGGTAACCTTTTTAGTTAAAAATAATAATTATAGTGAACGCATTTAACACAAATAAAATGTCACTTGCTGTTTAGCTTTAACCTTATGAAGTATCGTAAAATAAACTTAACACGATAAGCGTCATGAGATATAATGCGTGTGTCGCACCTCATTTGGCGCTTTGGGCCTCGTGACACACACGATATGTCTCACTGCTGGCAGTTATATTTGGCCGCGTAACGTAAGACGTGTGCCATGCGGATGTGATTTTCTTACGGGATCCAAGGGTCCGTGGCCTGAGGGACCAAATTATACTGAATTGGAAAGGAAAACATTAAAAAACACGTTGTTTATAGAGTTTTACAAAAAGAGGATATTCTACAAATCTAAAACAAAAAGCAAATCTCATAAAATAATCAGACATTCTCATTCAAAAATGAACAAAGTAATTTCACAGCAAATCAGTAAGTTATGGTAAATGTCAATATTCTAACGAACACAAATATGGAGGAACTCTTATAAACTAAACAGATTGACAAAGTCTTATGCAGGAATAAACAAAATACCGGTATAAATAAACAGTAATACAGATAAATATGGAATTACTACAACTACTATCTGATTCACTACCACTTGGAGAATACGCATCAGATAAGTATACATCCCCACATAACTCAGTACTGCCACTCTCTTCATCCGATAGTATTTCATTACACAATTGTTCAAGCCTTTTTTGCTCCGCTTAGTAATGCGATATCACTAAATTTGGTATTCAATAGTTTATAAACAGTGAAGCAATTTGGTCAAGATGACGTACAATACCAACAACGCTTCAATAATAAATGACACGAAACAGTGCTCAACGCGCGACATGATGCAAGTCTTGACTTGCAAAAAACGCGACGCGACTTATGTGCCACGCGACCCGACTGGTCTGTGGGCCACGCGACATACAACTAGTACCTCAGAAAAAAAATCAAAAAAGGGGAAAAATCATAGGATTTGAGAAAAAAGACAAGTCAAAATTTTAAACCGAAACTTAAAACAAGTTAATTTGACAATAATAACAGTTTGGCCCAGAGGACTGGATTTTCAGATTCTACTGTGGCGCTTAACGTGTCAATGTGACATTTCAATATTCGCCATCTAACAGACTAGATAAAGCTAGCCGATGCTACGTGCTATTGAGCCTGACGATTGACTTTTATTTAAATAAACAATATATACATAATATACAATAAATAGTGAACATCTGGTACTAGTACCAAAATGGAAGAGATTAGCATAACATCTCGCACATCGCTGCTAAAGCGAGATCTGCACACCGCATTTGCCGACACGAAGGGGTTAGTAACGGCGTACAATGTAATATGCTAATCTCTTCCAGTTTGGTACCCGAGTACAGCAAAAATAGCCAATTCTCAAGAAATCTTTTTCTTGTTCAAACGGTTCTCTTGTGCCTTCAAGATCACATCGGGATCGCGGATTGGCATATTTCTGCTTTTCCTGGGATCGACCAGTTCTGGGAGCAAGCAGTTCATGTAGAAGAATTTCAATTTCTCTTCCATTTCATTTTTCCAGAAAACGTCATCCTTTTGAATGACATCTATTTTCAAACCATACGGGGTCCAAACACCAAGCACCCAGTACTCTCTTTGTGCAACGTGTAGCTGCCCTTGAATTGGGTAATAACATTTATGTTTTTTATTTATTTCATCGTTTATCCAAAACGTAATTTTTTTGTTTAGAATGCCCTCTTCAGGGGTCATTTATCTAGCCGACCATGGACATTTAATTTCTAGCAGACCTTTTTCGCCTATCAAACCATCTGGCGATGCTGCCAGAAATGGATGGGTCCTATCAATAAGCAACCCGCAAGATTGTACTTCTGATTGCGAATATGATTTCTCTATTTCTGCTTTTGCCACGCGTTCATGCTTTTTTCCATAGTCACATGCATTGCTAAAGAATTCGGTTGAGTATATTATGGCGTTTACTAGAGCTTTGCAACTTGTTGTATCTCTTCTTCTACAAACCTCACCAAACCGAGACGCAGTCAACCTCATTCTTCGATGAAGACGGCACAAATTGCAATCCTGAGATTTTGTGGCTTGCTCGATCTGGGAAATTTCGGAGTCGGTTTTTGCAAGTTTTTTCAAGAATTCTACCTTGGCAGCCTCTATATCTTCGTTGCTCAGGTCAGGCTTCTCACATAATTCCCCATAGGATGCGTTCTCTTTAGTATCACTATCTCTGATTTTAATTTTCCTTGGTTTCAGCTTCCTTTTCAGATTTTTGTGCGCTCTCCTTTCTTCAACTTTAGCAATCAAAGAGGTTGGACTGAAACTAGGGAGTTTTGGATCACACAAACAGGCCGCTGTGTATTGTGGCTCACTACGGCTGCAGCATATCTTCCTTGGTAGGATCTCTTCTTGCAATAATTAATCCGTTTACCCCCAACGAATTTAGCTATGATTGAGTTAAACTGCTCTACAATATTATTATCGACGTCATGAAGTAAACTTACTGCATTTTTAATCAGAATTGGCAGAAATGATATCAGCCTTTGGTGCAAATCTAAAAAAAAGGGTATACACACCTGAATTTGAAGGTCCATGCCATCTGTCTCTGTTAGAGAATGCATATGCGAAACCTTGCTGTCATTTTTAAGCTAAAATAACATATAAAATATAGTTATAATAGTAACTACGTATAGTCTAATTTATTGGCAAAATGAATGCTAAAATTCATAATTGTTTTGGTACCTACCTTTCTATCTGGAAAACGTTTTTTTTCCTGTGCGTATGCGGCTTCTTCGAGACGCCACGTTTATTTCTCTTATTGTTCATTTTTGATACCTTGGTAAGAAAGACACTCAACAATAACAACACAACAATAACAACACGATAATACAACAATACAATAACGGTGATAAGAGTAATAAGGGCTGGGTATACTATGCGCCAAAATAGGGAAACAGTCGTACGCTAGATCGTAAATTCGACTCTGTGCAATATGCAAATTCAACCAGGCACGTGAACAGCACACCTCTGCGTATTACTATCCTTTTCTAACGTAGAGCGCTTGCCTTGTCACAACGCCGTCCTACTAGCGTTTCCCTATCACCCCCCCCCCCCTCCGGTACCCCTGAGAAACTCTGCTTGACTGTGAGAGCGCCGTTAAGTCAGTCTAACAGCCCTATACCATTAGTCCATAATACTCTTTCCCTTTCCACCGGTAATTACTGTCCATCTGGCAACGTTGTCTCTTTCCACATCTGCACGGCATCGCTGCAGATAGTTATCGTTCATTGCGTGCATGGTCCGTGTATAGTACGGATAGATTAATCAGCCGGACCAGTTCTCCGATGGGAGTACGCGGATCGAAAACATGTTTCTGTCATTCAAAGTTTTAAAGACAAATGTGCGGGGAAATATATGCTGTGTGAACTTTGGCAAACATGTGCACAAAATTACGGGTTGTACTGAGATCAAAAAAGTTTCATATCTCCCCTATCCCTACAGATATTTTTCTGAAAATAATCAGGACCCTCTGAAACGTCTAAAAACGATTTTTATAATGCTTGATTTGGTCTGTAGTTTGTAGAGATCTACCGTTGATGCTATTAGAATAAGTAATAGGAGCACGAGACCGATTGAATTTGATTTTGAAAGATTTCGCATCATTTAAAACTAGAACATTCACTCCACACAAATGAGAAATATGGACTAAGTCTCATTGCAGCAATTCAGCATCATGTTTGTTCCCAATAACTCTAAAAATCTTAACATTATCCGCAAATAACAGAATTTTACTGCGTACTAAGCTCACAGCATCATTAATAAATATATTAAATAACAATGGACTCAAGCTGGAGCCCTGCGGGACTCCAGAAGTTACACGAATACTACGAGATGTACACCTAACATATATTAACTAAAACTGTATAATCAGATAAGTAACTACTTATCCAATTCAAGAGCTGACCATAAACGCCATAGTTGCAAAGTTTGGACAATAGTATCAAATAGTTAACCCTGTAGAACGATTTAGAAAGATCCAAATAAACAGTCCACCTGCTGGCCTTGCTCGACTGAATTGCACAAATAGTTACTGTATAATATCAAACTGGTATAATTTGACTTACCCTGACGAAAACCATGCTATTGATTGGCAATACTACTTTTAAATTCATTTTGTGAAGACTTACTCATCAAATAATCCATCAATTTCGGGATAGATGACTGAATACACACCGCAGGATAGTTTTCAACAATATTCTTATTTCCTGACTTGAAAATGGGCGTTAAAAAGCTTCGATTCCAGTAATATGGGAGATTTCTCGACTGCAGTGATTTATTGAACAAACAAGCACAATGGTTTTGCCAAAGTAAATATACATTTTATAAATTCAAAAGTATTCCTGATCGGAAGACGTAGATCATTTTTGGAGACTCCTTTGTCAGCGTGGTTGCGAGGTTATGTACTTTAGCCAAATCCGCTATATGCTTTTTTTGTAGACAATCGAAGGCCTCCCGGAAAGATACTGGTTATTCAACAGAAAGTTCTCATGCCAGTCTGAGGAAGCAGAATAGATCAAAAAATAGACGATCGGGAGATCGATCGAGGAGCAGAGAATACTTAGACGAAGAAGAAAATAGAAGGGATTCCAAGCAGAGACTGAGAAGATCTGACGGAGATACAAAAGGTACATTTTCTATATCAAGTATTTTGCAATACTGCGAATTTAATAAAAATGCATCAGCCATCAACGTTCCACCGCTATGTCGCCGGGATCCAGTAAAGATCTGCGACACTTGAAACTAATTGGAGAAAAAAATTGATCATATACTATACACGAGAAGGAAGAGAGCTTTTTGAATTAACAAAGTCGGGGCCCGATATTTCGCCTAAATCAAAGAGATGCCGCGTTAGAATGGGCGTGCGATGTGTGTTACTGTTCTCTTTCATTTCTATTTCAGAGTATATGAGTAATAATTATGAATATTAACACAAATCGATGCACAATCATGCCGTTGCGATCCTCAAAAAATCCCGTTTGCAGAATTAGAATGTTGAGTAAGGCGCGTCCACTATTCTTGGAGCATCTACGAAGTCGTGGCCGTGGTTCCATAAAAATAGACGAGAGTTTAGATGATACAAGATAGAAGAGACACGATCTTTTTTCATTTAGGATCTTAAAAATTGGTGGTAAAAGGTAGTCGAAAAAATTGTATAAACTGGTATAGACCAAATCGACCATGTTTCGGAAAGACGTAATTGCGGTTTTACAGCGGCATTATATTTTTGAGGATATATGACAAGGATCCTCATCCACAGATACAAAAAATTTGGCGTCTAAGTTTTTTATTAAACGTCAAAGTTTTAAAAGTTACTTTATCGCGTGTATTTAAGTAGTTATGAATTATTGGTGTAAGAGGTCAAAAAAAATTGTAGTCGATGAAAATACCTTCAGAATAAGAACGTACACGGCCAATTTGCCGTAATTTAATGTTGCAAAAAAACGTCAGAAATCTTCGACTTCTACGTTTATTTTGACTAGAAAATATATAAATAGGTAGAGCTGAAATAATAGCCAATAATTAAAACCTTTGTAGTGTTTAACATCCATAAAAAATGTTATTCACTAATGCAACTGTTTCTGCAATTTTCGAGTTGTTACTATTTTTTCCAGAAATTGGAATTTTTTGACAACCCGTCCAGCGACTTTGGATTAATCAAATGGCCTCAGCCTTAGTTTAATATCGCATTGGAAGAAATAGCAAATTTTTTATGCACATTATGCACAAAAGCTTCGCCAATGGTAGGAGCAACAAGTGCAAAATGATCCCCTTAAGGCAAAAACTTTACTGCGCTCAAAGTTTCTGACAAAAACGCAAGATTTAAATTGTTAAGAGTAGTGAATTTACTTGCATTCGTAACTTCATACTTATTTATCATGATATGTTTGTAGTATATTAGTTTCGTCATATTTTCTAAAAGTTTAGTAAAGGATCGTTTTATACACATGTACGTATAAGATGATCCAGGCATACAACGTATCTTATTCTTTTTTAACCTTAATTATATTTAGAATAGGCTTCGGAACACAATAAGCATTAGGTATTTAGAAAAATCTGATCTATAACATTTTTCTTATTTTTTTCTTTCCCCGCCACAATTTCCTTAATTTTTTTTTTTGTTTGCAACTGGGTATTTCAATATTTTTTTCTTTTTATTCGCTTTCTTTTCTTCTTTATCTGTTTTCTTTTTCGTTTCCTCCTCTAGGTAGTTACAGGTAGGTACAGTCGTATCTACTCCTACTCGTCTTTTTCTTTTTCTTATTCCTACTATTTTTGGCTTTGGTTGTATTTGCCTTGGTATAAGGACCACAAAAAATGTGGGTGGAAGGTCAACCGAGTAACGGCTGGAGACGCTTTGGAATTAGATTCAATTGTTGTAGATAAAGCTGGAGATAAGAGGGCTTTTCCAATGAGGGAGATTGCTACTAATAAAATCTTACGGAGCTACACTTGACTGCGACATATCCATCGTTTTTCCTGATAGAGGCGTTTCAGGTGGAGATTCTTGTAAAGGTACTTGACGCGATGACTGTGGTACTTGTGGAGATTTCAGAATAAACTCTTGCGACGAAGGTTGAAGTGTTTTATCCAAGGTTCCTGATGTGTTAAATGAAGATATTGCTGGATAGTCACTTGCTAAGATCGCGGTGCTTCTGATAGAAATTCTAGAATATACGCTGGAGGAGGAGATATTTGCATGGTTTCTGGTGATGAAGCATGTGACCGTGACGTATCACAGAGGCAACTGGCGGGGTTGCGGAGATGAGATGACTTTTGTTCCGAATTTGGATAGATAAAGCTAGTGGTCACTCGCATACGGTGGGGAATAGATTTACCTCTTGGGATCGTACTACACGCATCTTCCCTATATCTATTTTTGGCTTATAACAATTATAATAAGCCAGTCGTTTTTCAACAGACGTAATTAGGATATCCTCTACTAATAAATAATAGTTTAAAAAAACAAAAAAACACGTTTTCATATATACGAGTATATTCGAAAAGTGGTTTTTCCAACTTTGCCGTTTAATAAAAACATTAGCTAGCAAAATTGTTCGTATATCACGCTATTTAAGACGAACTGGCATAAAGTTCCAACAGTCAGATTGCTGTTTTCACTTTCGCAGTCGTCGATTCTGGTAATCGATGGCACTTTGTGCTATATTATTTTGACAAACGTGTAGTTTGACTACACTACTTGTATCCGGATGGAATATTTGCAGGACGAAGAAAAATGGAAGATGCTTTCCCAGAAGAAAGTGATCAAGATCAAGAGGAAGCTACCATAGTGAGAAAGCAGAAGAAAACGCGAGGGTCCAATGAGAAAAAATACCAGAACGCAGATTCCAGCGATCCCTCAACCGAATGACGTCATCTACTTGCCATCATGGCCTTGTTTTGCCTCTTTTTCTTCATACTGATTTGTTGCCTATTCTTTATCTACTGGGGGATCAACACTGAGGGCTTGGTGGTAGCTAAAGTGTACAGGCATTAAGGGCCGATTTTACTCGTGGCCCTCGAGGATCAAAATTTGATCCGTGGTTCAGAATTTACCAATCAGATTTGTCAAATTGGCGAAAAATAAGTAACTTGTTTAATAAGGTTCTTCAAGCCCCAAACTGAACCAAGCGTTTTTGATTGATCACCTGATTTAGCTACAAAAGCCTACTTTTATATTTGATCTGTGTATGAAAATTTGATCCGTGGATCAAAATATTCACTACCAGATGATAGAACCAAATTTAAAACAACCATAAGAACTTGAGAAAATTATAAAATGATATATCGGTTGCTATAGTTAGGTAAAGATTTTAATAATTCCTTGATAACTCTCTTACTAGATTTGTAGACGGTCATCAGTCAAGAAAATTCGTTGATTTTTTCATTGCAGTACAACAGTTTACTTGATAAATTCTTTGGAGACAAAAATTCTATTACAGAATCCTCATTACTGGACAAAGATCAGGCAAAGGTGCAATCCACTTTACTACCCTGCAAAATAATTTAAATTCGCAACACGTGTTTAGAGATAATTGAGATTCGCTTATAATCGTCGCACTTCGTACTGACATCTCTGTTCAATAAGTTTAAGGAGGCTGAGAGTGGGGTGAAAGGAACGCTTTTGTGTGAGACGTCATTAAAACGCAGTCGACGGACTGATGCAGTGCTACCAAATCTAAGGCCCTTGCGACTTCTTACTGTACTGCAAGCTGATAATACATATACGAGTAGATAATATATATTATCAAGAGTCTGTTTTGTCGCCCCATGGTAATTGACACGTCTTTTTCAATTTAATGGATAGAGTCAGAATGGAGTTTAATACGATCATCTCCTTTATTTTTTGATTCTACGTTGATTTGAAGTGATTTATAAAGCACTTTTTGATTTAGGTTGGGGACTAGAGGCCCTTCTTACACAAATCGTATAATTATCTGCTAGTTTGAGAAATATTTTAGAAGAAATTTACGATGTACTTCAAAAACGTATTCTGATTGGTCAATTTTGATCCGTGGGTCAAATTTTGATACCCGGATCGTAAAATCGGTCCTAAGAGAAATATGAAATCCGAAAAAACATCTTATAAGTTAAGAAACAAAATGCTGATAGTGTGTATTGTTAAATAATTGCAACTTCTAAAATGATTTATTATGATCGATAATAAAACCACGTATATGCTATTGCCACTGATCAACACATTCTACCCGAAGATAGCCAACCTAGTGCTATATTCTCGCGTCCAAGAAGTAACCCGAGATAAAATGAGATACAGTAGCGTCATCTATGAGAATTTGTCACAGTTGTTTCTCTATCTACTATATGGGTCGAAACTAATATTCCGCGACCTGGCTTGGCGTGTCATTTATGTCAGATCGAGTTCAAAATTGCCTCCTGGGGAGTGCTTATGGAAGCATGTCTTTAAATACAACATCTTTCAATGAATATCTTTTAAATATTGCAGAGAACCTAGTTACTAAGAGACAGAATTCTACCTCACCCAGCAGCTTTTTAAACAAAATCAATGATTGTTTTAAATTTAAAACAGTATCCTACAATCAAGTGAAAGTCGCTATAAGCAAATAAAAAAAACTCAACGGCTGTAGATATTCTTGACATCAACATAAAAATAAAAAGTAAATAAAAAATCTTACAATTATACCGCTAACAAACTTATTCAATTGAAGAATGATGGCTTTCATAGGCACATCACTTTTGCTGTAGTGTCACTTTTCACAAATGTCCCACTAGACCTATCACTGGATTACCTGAAGCAAGTTTTTCCATAGGATATCCTGACCTTGTTCCGACACACTCGTAACAACTACATATTTCCAGTGGAACAATCAATTTTATGAATAAACTGACGGCGTCGCAATGGGAAGTCCGCTAAGCCCGGAAATAGCCAATTTTTACATGGAAAAGTTCGAGAAAGCAGCACTGAACACTGCCCCCAATCGTCCCAGGATGATCCTTCGTGGTATGGAGCCACGGAATAACAGAACTAGCAGTGTTCCTAAGTCACCTAAACAGCATTCACCCCAAAATCAAATTCACAATGGAAATAGGAGAGGACAATCAACTGGCCTTCCTGGACGTATTGGTGGCCAGACGAGCGAACTTAAAGCAACAAACACTGATAGATATCTACACAAGGACTCCAACCATCATCCTGGACAAAAAAGGGGTGTCATTAAAAATATGATAGACAGGGCACACCGAATTCGTGAACTTCAATACCTGCAGGGGAACAAGATCATGTTAACATGGTTTTAAAGCAAACGGCTATAGCAGGGAACAAATAAAAAGCAGGTCTCACGACAAAAAAGCAGACCGCTGGCAGGAGACATGGAACCACCTATGGGAGTCTCCTTCCTACCACACATTAAGGGCATTACGGATAGAATAGGAAGGTTGCTGCAGAAGCACAACGGCAAGACCATCTACAAGCCGACAAATAAATTCCAGCAACTCCTAACATCAGTAAAGGACCCTAGGGACTCCCTGAGCGGGGCCGGCGTATACGGAACACCGTGTTCCTGTGGTAAAGTATACGTAGGCACCACTAAACGTAGCTTCCAAACACGCATCAAGGAGCATGAAAGAAGCTGTCGACTGGGACAAACTGATAAATCAGCGGTGGCCGAACACGCACTCCAAGACGGCCACAATGTTCTATTCGACCAAACTGAAGTCCTATCAACATCCACCCACTACTCAGCTCGAATGTACGGAGAAGCAATTGAAATCTACAAACACAATGATAATTTTTTTAAACAAAACGTGGTTCGCAATTCTAAAAAAACACAGCGCAAAAACCACGTCACTCAAGTGACCCAGAGTACCGCCACCAGACCGCTCAGTCCTCAGTCCGCCTATCACCTATAAAACCGCACGCTTGTCCAGTTGACCGATCGGTTTCAGTCGACCCGCCAAGCCGAGCACTTCGCTCTCGCCGACAGCGCCACTGAAGATGGCTACCGCAGATGTAGCCGAAAGCTCTGGATCAAATCCAACCCGACCACGGCTCAACAGCCCGAAAAAGCTAAATGACAAACTTATTCAACATTTATACAGGGTGGCGCATCGAAAACGAAACAGACGCATTTACTAGCAGCTGTTTTTTTTTTCGAAAAACGCTCAGACCCGTCGATTTTGTTTTCGAGGGGGCAAGTTTGGCAAAAAATCACGTTAAACGTGCAGCCCCCTGGGCGGGGGCGACACTAACTCTAAAATCTTAAATGGGAAGTTGGGTCGAGTGATGCCTTATTTTAAAGGTCTTTCAATTCCATTTATAATGATGTAAAATACATGAGCTTCAGTTCAGTAGTTTTGAAGATTTATTGATTTAAAGCTTAAAGTAGACTTTAATAGGTACATCAGATTAGTTTATACTACTATCAGAAGAAATTTTACTAAAAGAATTTACTTAATAAGTAAATGCTTTTCTTCACTATGCCCATGGTTTGTTTATCATTTTGTTGTTGGAAATAGCTATTGGAGCGTTTTTTTGTGGCAAAAAAGTTATTTCTTGACGAAAGATAAGGAAATATCTCGTACTTATTTTAAATAGGAATTTAGTACATAGTTTGCGATTGATTTGACCAAACTTCATTGCTAAAATAACTTGTAACGCTTTATTACATAAATTAACCATGGTATATTCCACAGCAAAAAGAGTAAAATTATCGAAATATTTTTCGGAAATAATCGGTGCGCTAATAGAACAGCCGAAATATTTAATGAGCGACATGAGAACAGTAACGTGCATCGAAAATATGTTCTAGAACTTGTAGCTAAATTTCGGGAAACTGGGTCAGTCGCCGATAAAAAACGCAACATTGAAAATCCCGTAAGGAACGAAGCAATAGAAGTGGGGGTTTTAGGGCAAGTTTATGTAGATCCTACATTAAGTACCCGCAAATTGGAGACTGTGTGTGGTGTTAGTCGACGTACTGTCCAACGGATTATAAAGGCCCATAGTTTTCATCCGTATAAAATTCACCTGGTACAAGAACTTAATAAAGACGATTTTGATCGGCGATTACAATTTTGTGAAGATATGAGTGAACGAATTATAAAAGATGATCATTTTCTATTCAACACTTGCTTTTCCGACGAATGTTCATTTTTCTTAAATGGCGTAGTAAATCGTCATAACTGCCGATATTGGTCCGATTCTAATCCCAGATTTTATCATGAGGTTCATACACAGCAGCCACAAAAATTAAATGTTTGGGCTGGTATTTTTGGCGATCATTTAGTTGGTCCTTTTTTCTTACCTGGAAATCTGACCGGTGAAATGTATTTTGGAATTACTCGAAGACGCCATAGATCCTGCATTAACAGCCATAATTGAAAATCAGAATGATCGGCGGTACATTGCGAATAGGTTGATGTTCCAACAGGATGGTGCCCCACCCCATTACGCATTACGTGTTCGACAATATTTAGATCAGACGTTTCCAGATCGATGGATTGGTAGAAGCGGTGCCATTGAATGGCCCCCAAGATCGCCAGATTTATCATCTTTGGATTTCTTTATGTAGGGTCATTTAAAAAGCAAAATCTATGCTACTCAGCCAACATCATTAGAAGACCTGCGACAAAGAATTGTGAACGAGTGCCTTCAAATTACTCCTCAAATATTGCAAAATGTGCGGCAAAGTTTTGAGCAAAATCTTAATTATTGCATGGAGAGTTATGGTGGCCATTTTCAACATTTACTTGCCTAACGGGTCAGTTCATTCTTCATTTTTAAACTACTTTGCTGCCAAATGTATTGATCTCCACTAATGATGATGTATATATTAGTTTTATTTAAGCTTTAAATCAATAAATCTTCAAAACTATTGAACTGAAGTACATTAATTTTATATCATTATAAAGGGAATTGGAAGACCTTTAAAATAAGGTATCACTCTACCCCCCTTTCCATTTAAGATTTTGGGGTTGGTGTCACCCCCGCTTAGGGGGCTGCATGTGCTAACATGACTTTTTGCCAAGCTTGTGTCCCCCTCGAAAAAAAAATCGACGGGACTGAGCGTTTTTCAAAAAAAAACTGAGCTGCCAGTAAATGCGTCTGTTTCGTTTTCGATGCGCCACCCTGTATAATTCATAACATTTTCCAGATATTTCTAAGATTAACCAAGTTTATTCCCCTTTTTAACAGCGGTAACTCTAATGATGTATCTAATTACAGACCAACCTCCCTGGTATCTGTTATTTCCAAGATCTTTGAGATGCTGCTAAAAGACCAAATAAATGATTTTTTTAATCAAATAATCTATTTACTAATTGTCAGTTTGGCTTCAGATGACGTAGATCAACATCAGATTTTAATGCTTTTATTGATAACATTAATTCCGCCTCGGAAAATTGTTCATGCTGTATGGTGAGATCATAGTCGTGCAATAGATACTAACCTGTATATATTTTCACAGTTCAGTCTCTTCATAACTACCAGACAATAGTGAGTCCCACAGAGCTCAATTCTTGGCCCAATTCTTTTCTTGATATATATCAATGATTTACGCAACTGTAGTCCAATGAATAACCTTATATTATATTCTCATGGCATCAACGATTAATAGACATACCTACATCAACTGAAGCCCTCAGATCAAAGCATGTAAATTGAAAACCTGGTTTGCATCAAATAAGCTAATCCTCAATACTGAAAAATCACAGTTTATGGTTATCAGTTTACGAAAACATAACACTGAATTATTTGAATCTGATAAATTCCTAGGAGTACATATTGATGCACATATGACCTGGGAGACTTATGTGGTACATGTAATGAATGATCTTTCAAGGTGTATATACATGTTGATAAATTAAATAAAAACTGTTTGCACTAATGTCTTGGAGACATAGTATTACGGTCTTTTCCATTCCATGATGTCCTACGCAATTCCTCAGCTGGGGCCATTAAGCACATATGGAGAAAATTTTTGCAATGCAGAAACGTAGTGTTAGATGTACTTGTGGCTTAGGATTTAGGGATCCATGTAGAGATGATTTGCCCAACTGCCAAGAGAAAAACCTGG